TTTGTCTTGCGTCGGAAGTGTTGGTTTGTTGTGACTTACTTTCTTTGAAGTCTTTGAAAAGATATAAGATATGATCAGTGTCTCGCCTTCGTGACGTTAAAGGCGAATATCTGCGATTCCACCGTGCCGATGAGGTGGGACCGGACGCCTGTGGACGTTCCAGGATGGGACGGGACGTGCGTCATTATTTCATTCATTTTTGACACGTATTTCTAGGGTGCCCTTGACCTTGGGATGACCCACATCAAGGACCTTCTCTCTCTCGCCCTCTCACTACTCGCCCTCCCACTACCAAGCGGGGCAGAACGGCCGACCTCCCATTCCTCCCATCCTAGTCTCACTCGGAGGCTGGCGCTCACTCCCTCCATCCGGTAAATCTCAGTTTCACCGCCCTCGTCTACTGCCACCTTTTTCCTTTTTCATCCTCCCTTTTGGGACGAAAGAATTCAATTTTTTTGCCATTAATATTTCTACCTAATTAGTACTCTAAAAACCATAAATTTCCCAATAAAATCAATAATTTAAAATTCCTCTTTATTATAAACTGCTATTAACAAAAACCATACATATCCCTAAAGTATGTACATAAAGTATATGGATATACACGTAAATTTTGCTCGAAATACATCTGGACATACAAAACCGGTGTGAAAGGTCTAACTTGACAACACTGGCTAAGGCCTAATTTAAAATTTAGTAAACAGACCTCAGTTTAGTCACGACCTTAGTTCGAACTGCGATAACTTGTTCTCTTGATTTTAGTTGTCTCTACCAAGACGTCCACGAAGCTGAAGGAAACAAAAAAGTGCGATATCCCAACAAAATCTAACCGTGAAAAAAGGGCCAAATTCCAGACCCCCCTCCAAAAAAATTTTTTTTAGTCCAAAACCTGGGAGAACTCAAAAGAAAAAAGAAAAGTTCCAGACTCCCTAGGAAAAAGTAGCCTATCAAAGTGGGGATATTTACACTGTGGCCAACCTCACTTCACTTCTACTCTCATAAGCAACAATTTTTTTTGTTTAACACTTGGCCAGTTTCTGAATGATCAATACGGAGTGTGGAACTTTTTATTTTCTTATGAGTTCCCTTCACCTACTTCTCCTGTGTGAGCAAACGTCCTGATATTTTAACCCTAATTCAGAACTTAGATAAGCTGACTTTTTTGGTTGACTCCCAGGTTTTGTACTAAAAAAAGAACGGACTTGACCACATTGGCTAATTTTTTTGGAGGGGGGTCTGGAACTTGGCCCTTTTTTCACGGTAGGGTTTTTGTTAGGATCCATACAACATCAAAAGAGATTAGAAACAGCAACTTTCTGAAAACATTGGCCTGATGTTCTTCCTACATGGTTTCAAAATTAATGCATCTTAAAGCAATGTATGGTTGAGTTGCTTCAACTACCACCAACTAATCATCTCAATTTACAACTTTTTTTGCCTTTCCCTCTTTTTTGCCAATATTCATATTAGTAAGTTTCTTAGTTATTGTCTCGAGGACAGAAGTCACGATAGCTCAAGCGCCAGGGTAATGAAATGGAGGTCGTGGGTTCGAGCCCCACTCGTGACATTTTTCAACTCAACAGTACTTTTCATAAAAAATAAAATAATTATGTATTCACTAGTTTCGTGGTCCGCTTGACCAATTAATATCTTACAATTAATTAAGGTTTTCAGTTGAGATAAAAAAGTCAATGGCACGAGCGGGATTCGTACCCACGATCGTCGGCTTGATACGCCGCTGCTCTACCACTTGAGCTATCGTGACCTCGATCCACTCGGACACAACTTCCCATCTCAACCCCACCTTTTGAATTTTCCCTCCTTTTTGCCATTTTTCAAATGTCGTGCAATCAATTTGATTCTCGGCGACAAATGAAATGGCCATGGAGAGCTTTCGTGAAGTATACTTCATTTTTAAACTTATTAAATTCACTAGTTTTGTGGTCCGCTTGACCAATTAATATCTTACAATTAATTAAGGTTCAAAATTCAAAAGGTGTGGTTGAGATGGGAAGTTAGCGTCCGAGTGGATCGAGGTCACAATAGCTCAAGTGGTAGAGCAGCGGCGTATCAAGCCGACGATCGTGGGTTCGAATCCCGCTCGTGCCATTGACTTTTTTTATCTCAACTGAAAACCTTAATTAATTATAATTATGTATGTATTTATAGTTATAAATTTTTATAATTCTTCCCGCACTATTCAATTATTGATTTTATTTATCAACGATATTAATTCTTCCATTTCTTCTGGCGTTTTATTCTTTTTCCACATGATCTTAAAATTTATCGTGAAATTTCGAGTGGTCAGAGGACATAATTGTCTAATAAAAGTCTCTCTCAGAAATAATTCGTTAGATTCATAAAAATGCTTTGACTGTAATCGTCAATTATGTTATAGATTTAGGAGTCACGTTTCAGCCCAATCTGTCCTTTTCACTACATATTTCATCGAGAGTAAATAAATCCTTTTATGTTTCTAGGCGTCATATCTCGCAATACTCATAATTTCAATAATATCATAGCCTTTAAACAACTTTATTGTTTCCTTGTCTGTTTTAATCTTGAATTCTCTTCTCCTGCCTGGTCTCGTTATCTTCTATGCCAGAAACAATCTTTAGAACAAAATTCACATAATATTCCTTATCTCCAATTGCTTCTTACTTATCTTCATTAGAATCTCGTCGTGTTTATTATGATTTTGGTTTATGTATAAATTAATAAATAATAGAATCGATTGTCATATGTCACTTTATCTTTTAAATTTCCGAGTTACACTCCATAATCAAAGACTTTCTTCATATTCTCATGAATATCTTCTACATTCTTGTATCAAACAACTCAAGAAAATATGTAATAATTTTATTCAAAAGTTGCCGCAAATAAGGTCTAAACTCAGAGGACTGGTAGGACTACACACCGGTCATTGGCAACTGAGAAAATATCTCATCATTGATGATGACCTCGTTTGTAGCTTATACTATGAAAAGGAAGGAACAGATTGGAGACAACCTGATGAAAGAAAACCATTTTTGTATGTTTATTGCCATCTTCCACAGCTTGAACCCTGCACAAGTGTCGTGCGTTTGCCGATGACAGGATCTTATGAGAATAAAGGACCGGTGTCATCGCGCAGGTGGTGAGGATCGTTTCAGGAAGGAAATATCTAAGTGTAAATGATGGGTCTTAAGATACGTCCTTGTGGTACCCCTGAATCTGTGCGATAGCCAGCCGATAAAGAGGGTCCACTGATGACTTGAAACTATCTGTCGGATGGGTAGGATTTTAGAATCAGGTAGTAGGTAAAAGTAGGATTCTCTTTTACGGCCCCGAGTGCCATATACGATAGTTGGTTTGCTTCAGATTATACGTACACAATATATACAATAGTATACATTACAGCAGTATTGCTTTAGCTCAAGAGCGTCTATAACGCGATGGCACTGACCACACGAAATTTAAAGCCTATAATTTTATACCATAATATTTTAATGCTAATAACTCCATTATTTTGGTGTTCCCGTTGACCAAATAACTTCTTTCAATTTATTTATCTTTTTATGTAAGTTATTGGTTTAAATGAAAAAGTTAGTGTCACGAGCGAGATTCGTACCCAGCCCGAGGTAGTGGGTTGAACTTTGAATATTTTTTTCTACAATTTCAACTTTTTTATAAAGTTTATTATTTTTGTTTTCTGCTGAACATTATCTGATTACATTGACCACAACACTTATCCTTAACAGACTTTGCGATAGCGTTATCTAATCAGTGAATTGGTAATCGAGGTCGGAACAAAAACCTGTTTCGAACGTAACTTGTACATTGTATTTTTTACAATTAACGTTCAGTACACAATGTAGAAACATTACCTCGGTGTGCCTAGTAACAAACATGCCTAGTAGGAAAAAAATATAAGGTACATCTAGTTTTTATATTCAGTTGTCGGTTTTGCGAATAATTATGATTGAAGTTATCGTGTTCAGAAGAAGTTGTAGACTTAAGTCCTCGAGCCGGAAAGAATAGAGGTGGTTATGGATAGGGATAGAGATAAAAGAGCACAAGGCCGTCCGCACCTAGACCTATTGGGCTCTTCCAGTTTTATAAATCACTATGTAACTTCAAGTTGTTAGTCATCCTTCATAGCTTTGCCAGCGGCTACTTAGTGTAGGATCTTACTAGGCTTTTCCACTTCTAGCTGCAAAAATCTGCACCCACATAGCCCCAATAGAGGTGGTTAATGAGTATAAATCGGCGTCCTCCTGACCCCCAGGTTGAAGTGGACATTGAAGAAAATCAAGCAATAGGTCATCCCATTATAGCTGAAGTATGAACTATTCAACTTAGTGTGTCATTCAATCGTATGATACCGTTGCCATTGGCTATCATCATATTGACGGCTTGTTTTAGCATAAGTTTATGGTGTGGAGAGAGGGAGGGTGGGAGGGAGAGAGAAATTTAGAGAGAGAGAGGGAGGGAGGGAGAGAGAAAGGGGGAAGAGGGAAGGAGAGAGTGAGAGGGAGGGAGGGAGAGAGAAAGGTGGAAGAGGGAATGAGAGAACGGGAGGAGGAGTGAGAAAGGAAAGGAGAGTGAGAAAGGGTGGGAAAGAGTGAGAGAGAGAGAAAGGGAGGGAGCGAGGGAGAGAGAGAGAGTGAGAGGGAGATAGAGAGAGAGAGACACTCTCAACACGACACGCAAGAATGGCACAATTACACAGAAGACAACCATTTTGAGCCCTGAAGATGATCGAAACGTTGGCACGATAAAGAAAATGTTTTTCTGAAACCTACATTACACCAGACTACATCTCAAGATTTCTGAATAATTATCGATTAACGGTCACTATTCACCACATAAAAAACAACAACTTTAAATTGTCTGTTTTACATAAAGTATGGTAGATATCCATTTACAACATGAAATTTTACATTTATTGTGTAGAGATAGATGGTTAGATAGATAGAGAGAGAGAGGGAGAGACAGAGGGAGAGAGAGAGTGTCTATTCACTTTTCCTTTTGTCTTTTTGGATCCACTCTGTAATGTTTTCGTTGTCCCAAGAATAGGTTCAAGGAAGTATATGGTCTTGCAGATCCTCCTCTGGCCAGTATCAACTTTTTTACCCAAAATTCCTTCATGTCCTAGTAGTTTTCATCTGGTTAATGCTTTCCGCCAGGTTTTTGAGATTTTTGACATACTAATGCTTGGCTTTTCGATCTCATGAGGATTTTTGCTAGTGTAACCTTTTTTAAAATTTTCAATATACAAGCATTGATGGGACGAATTTTAGCATGAAAGACCAAGATGTACTTAAGAGATTGATTGCTCATGTTTTGGGCTTTTACAAAAAAAAGAGCCTGATACGGTTGCTAATGTGGTTTGGAACCATCTGATGCTCTCCTGAATTCTTCTTCCCATACTTTACTTTTTTAAGTGGGTTTAGTGACCAAGTTAGCACATTACTTAGATAGTCAATGTGAGCCGGAATGGATAATATTATGGATGGAATCGATAATATTTTTAATGGCACGACCGCAATGGGTCAACGAAAACATCCGTGGGATGAATGAAGCGGACAGTTTGCCCGTCGGCAGACAAACAATGCTTTAAAACCCCAAGCTGAACGATTGAAGGTTTGTTATTTATAAATAAAAACCGAGATGTAAGATAAGGAAATGTCGGCCGGTGCAGTTGCGAAAGTGAAGGAATGTTTCTCGGACGTGAGTTCGTTGCCCGCTAGTCAACATAGATCGATCCAAACAAGTCCTCGACCTTAAAACAATGCTAGTTCGACCCTCATTTTTTATTCAGCGATTACAACTAATGAATGCGTATCGCCCTACAGAGCCACCATACGAAAAAATCCATTCACAACACTTTCTATTATAAAAAAACCACATTTAAATAAAATAGCTTAATAATTACTGTCAAAGGGTAACCATAATAGATATGACAATTCGTAATGACTTACGGCCGCAAAGATAACGACCATTCATAGGACAATTTAAATATTCGTTAAATTAAATAGTTTTAAATAACTCGGTCGTTTCCTATCGTTTTGGTCTACCTATCCTTGTAGGCGTGATGCATCAAGACGAAACGACTGACAGACCGAAAAATGCGACGAGGAAAGGCACAGGTCCCATCGCTTCGCAGTCTTCAAGAGGAAGTAACAATTTTAAATACATTCAATCATTTAATTATAGGAACGATTTTTTCTGCCTTCAATGAAATTCTGAAAGATGCAGATAAGAGTCGTAATACCAAAAAGGTAACAATAACTTAGCGATTACAGATAACCGCATCTGGCTATATGAAATGCATTAAACAATTTTAGACAAGTCAGTCAAAATATTAATTTCAACTGACCGTTCGTCAGCAGTTTATTCTTCCATAATTTATTCCGCCTAATGATCTCATGATTTGGGATAACTGAATATAGCGAATTGCCTCCAGGTACAATGAGAACGACTGGACAAGTCGTCCCAAATGTAATAATAGAGCCAAACAGATTTGAACAATTTCGGTTAAATCGTCTTGTCAGCTGCAACGAGTTTGTACATTTATCGGTAATTTGATCCACTAAGAACATTACGGTCTGATAATTTCGAAATCTGTCGACCTTCGCCGTAATGAACCATCACCGGAATATGGTGAAATGCTTAACAGGATGATCAGTAACGATTCCACTGGTGATAAACGAGGCGTGTTATTAGATACATCGAATATGAGTATTTCCTTCTCTCTCTCTCTCTCTCACTCTCTCTCTCTCTCTCTCTCTCTCTCTCTCACTCTCTCTCTCTCTTCCTCTCTCTCTNCCCGCTTACTCATATTCATTCTCTCATTCTCTCTCACTCACCCACTTACTCTCTCTCTCTCTCTCTCTCTCCTTCTCTTGCTTAATATTTAATAATTTATCTGTCAATAATAAGTAAATAAACTGAAATTTAGTGAATTATGTATATACATACGTCGAATTGATATATTATGGTATGCCTTAACTACCACCAGAATCTTTCATTTTAGGAAGTGAATTTTTTTTTTTTAATATTGCCGAACAAATGACAATCGCTAATGTTAGAATATCCAAATAAAAAGTTATCGTCGTTCTATGTTAGGAAATTTTCGTTTGATGAAAATCTTGGTTGGGTGAAATTTATTTTCTAAATTTTATGACTTAGAGTGAGAATACGAGTCTCCATACAATCATTTTTGCATTGTGTGAACATTTGTTGAATTTCATTTAAAAGAAAAGTATCAAGAACGGAACAAAGATTTAGAAAATTGCAATAAATACATATTTCCGCCAACTCATAGCAGGTGGTCTAATCACGTCTAAAGGAATGTGGGACGCGGTGTTGTACTTACTAGTTATACATATTACAAGAAGTGAACATCACTATTACGTAAATAAATATGTCGGTTATCCTACTTGTCTTTTGCAAATTCACCGGCATTTTAATTTTAAATACATTTTCGGATTCATTTGTAATCCAGCTTGTACCATTACGGCCAACCACTTGTAAACGTTTAAATTTATAAAATATTTTTTTGAGAAAACGCATCGGCCATGGGAGGGACTCTTTCACCGGAGCTTGCGGACCTTGTAATGAATGAGCTGCTGGATTGGATTGGACTTAATTTTGGATTTCACATCAAATTTCTTAAGAAATATGTTGATGATTTGTTCCTGATTATAAAAAAGAGTGAGCTGGTGGACATTTTGAAGGCGTTCAATTCTTTCCATCCGTCACTACAATTTACACAGGAAACTGAGGTAGATGGGAAACTTCCTTTTCTTGACTTAGTTGTCATTAGAGATAATGGTAAATTAATAACTAACTGGTATTTGAAACCATCTTGGACAGGATGCTACATTTCTCATCCATCCATTCTTTTCAAATGAAAGTTAACATAGTTTTTAACCTCATTGATAGGGCTCTGAAATTGAGCGACGATCGTTTCCACAGTGAGAACAGGAAAAAAGTCCGCTCTATCTTAATAGATATTGATTACCCTAGATCATTAATAAATAGATTAATGGAAAACAGGACAAGAGCAACAAGGAATGAGAATATACCTGTTGAGCAAAAATTTTATCAACCAGTTACATATGTAGATGGAACATCAAGTAAGTTAAAAAAACTGTTGAAAGAAAAAATAGATAATGTAAAAATTGTTTACAAATTTAATAATAAAGTGAGTAAACACAAAACTTAAAAGTAAAGAACCTCTATTACAAAAATCTAATGTAGTGTATCGCATCAAATGTGCACAATGTCCCACGGTGTATTACGGCCAAACGAAACAATATTTATCGGAACGTGTGCGGCAACATAAGTATGATTGCAGTGATGAAGAAAGGCCGGGAACAGCACTATCCAAACATACACATGCTACTAAACATAATTTTGACTTCGATGGAGTCAAAATTGTGGCTTCAGAACAAAATACAGAACGTAGACTTTTGAGAGAAATGACATTTATTCATCAGGATAACATGACATGTAATTTAAAAACAGATTTGAATAATTTGAGTGTGATTTACAGTGGGATTCTAGAAAAAGACAAGGTCTCTCTCCAAAGATCGTAACATACATATTTATTTATTTATTATAACAGGCTGTGATAACATAGAATTACCAATGTACTAAAAATTAAGATCTTGTTTTAAAAATTGTGGAAAAAGATTGTTATCAGTAGGTGATAGTGTGGGGAACCTCCCACCTGATAACGTGATAAACACAATTTTCTAGTCAAACGCCTGTGATATTTATGTACCTTAAAGAATACTAATTGTTAAGTAATTGTTACTGTTTTAAAAAATGCATATATATGTAAGAGGCTATTAAGAAGAGGTTTTATTTATTTATTTATTATATAGGTATATAGTTTGTATATATACATATCGTGAAATGTGTTTAAGTTATGACTTTGTATCTGTAAGTACAATTATTGTAATTTATAACTATTTAAATCTTAGATTAGAACCATTAGATCTATTGTTCTTACTCTTAGATAGCATATTTGATAGATGGAACCTTTTCCAATTTAAGATTTCACTAAAACATATCTGCTACTTTTCTCATTTTCTTGACAGAAACTAACATATGGGGGACCATAATCTGGTATATAAACCATAATTTTTTTTTTTTTTTTTATTGGCCTTATGATCTTGCATATTAGCCATAGTAGGAATTCTTGTGTGTTCCAATTGGGGGTTATCGGGAAAAAAGGGCCAGAGGCGACGGTGGGAATCGAACCCACGACCGCGGCGTGAGAGTCTCTCATGCTAACCACTCGGCTACCGCGGTCCCCAAGATCGTGGGTTCGAATCCCGCTTGTGACACTGACTTTTTTTATCTCAACTAAAAGCCGTAATTAATTGAAAGATATTTTTGTAAGACGGTTTTAGTTAGTAACTAAATTAAAAAAAAAAATCCTATCCTAAGATTATCATTCCCACCGTCGCCTCTGGCCCTTTTTTCCCGATAACCCCCAATTTGAACACACAAGAATTCGTACTATGGCTAATATGCAAGATCATAAGGCCAATTAAAAAAACTATTTAAATGATTATGTCCCTATGTCTCTGTAGATCCCCTGAAGAAGGCAATAAAACTTGTCGAAAGCTTGGGCGTTGATATAATAACATTGTATGTTTGAAGACCACAACCCGAATCCCAATCAACATCAGAAAACGCATTGTACAACACAAACGTATTTTGATTTATATTCATCGCAACAGACCTTATGAAATATGATTATTTCCTATGTTGTTTGTTTGAATATTCGTCGAGTAAATAAACCCAGACGCTGAGGCCCTCAGGATGTGTGAACACAGTAACAAATTATTGAGGATTAACAATCCTCAAACAACTGCCGACTCATACGACCCTCCTGTCATACATCGAGGTTGCACATTTGCTGAAGTTGAAATAAAAAGTCCAAGGTTTGTTCTTTAACTCCAAAACTTATAACTGCTGACAACTTACTGCAACGAGTCCTTCAACTAAAATTCCTTCACTCGTCTGTAATAATCTAAGAGCTGTTTTTTAATCCACGTTTAAGAATTTTTTCAAAATACACGCTTTGTGCGACCTAATACGTTGTTTAGAGCGGAGGAATGAATGAAAATTCTGTAATTAAATAACACGAGCGCAAAATCAAAGCAACATCAAACATTAATTTTAGTTTACCATACAATATTTATTTATTTCTGGTGGTTTACTGCCATACAAGCAGAACTAAATTCACTTTTTCCCAATTATATCAAAAAGATCACTTTTGAAGGGTGCGATTTTGTGGCTCTATAATGAAAGCGTGTAGGAATGACATAATGATAATCATGTTTGAGCAAGGCAGCCAGTATCTGGGTCTCCTGTTCCGATCCTTGGAGGGAAAAGGGCTTTATTTATTTATATAATACCGATAGTTTTGTTTCATTAGCGAGTGTTGAGAGTGAATGCATTTATTAGCGTGAATGGGTAGTGTGAGAGGGGGCCGAATATTGAGTAGATCGACCTGAATTAGCATTTTTATACATATTGACAGGCAAAAAATTCCACCCAATACTAATATAACTTGATGTGTATATATTTTTATATATTAATCAGTGTTTCACGTTTTTTAATACTTAATAATTGAATATGTCGAAAAAACTGTAAATTATTAAGGAAAAAGAGAAAAAAACACAGGTAAAATTTGTTTTAATTAGATTTTTAATTAACATTTCAATATTGCGTATTTCCTCCTCTTGCCTTAATTAGGCCGAGAAGACGCCTCGGCATACTTTCTACCAGTCTGGAAATGTCTCTTTGCTGGAGGTTACTCCATTCTTCACGAAGATCGTGGAATGTACCAGGAAGTGATGGACGGGCTCTTATTCGTCTTTTGAGGTTATCCCTCGTTCGATGGGGTTCAAGTCTGGAGTTCGGGCTGGCCAGGCTAAGACTTATTATGCTGCTGAAGGTACTATGCGAGCGACATGTGGACGGGCACGCCCATATGGCGATGGTAGAGCAAATCTACTCATTTGTAAAAAGTACAACAGACCAATCGTCCAAAGTCCAATGGCTGTGCTCTCGAGCTAATGCGAGCCGTGAAACTCTGCGTGTTCTGGTCAATCCTATCATGTTACGACGATAAAGCCCTAATTAACTACCGAATCTCAGCAGTTTCGGAGTTATTCCACTTTTTCTGATTTTTTAAGATTTCACGGTCTTTCTTCAAATAAACAATGATAACTCGGAAACTAAAAGGTTTTGGACAAATCCGTCGATACCATTGAAAACTACGTTACATTTCCAATAAGATGTGATTAATACCATACTTGCAAACCTGGGTGAAATAAGCATTTTAGTAGCCATAACTTTGGAAAATATTTTTTTTTCTAAGTTGAAAAACTTACTATTTTGATTCTAAACTATTAACAAACCTAGAAACCAGTAAATTTAAACAAACGTACTCCATTTAATATCCTTTTCAGTGGTGTAACTACTTTTTTAATTAATTATTTCAAACATGAAGAAATTGATGGAGGAAAGGAAAAAACCGTGGTTGAATGATTACACGGTCTGGTGTGATGTAGGTTTCAAAAAAACATTTTCTTTATCGTGCCAACGTTTCGATCTTTATTGAGATCATCTTCAGGGCCTAGGATTTACGAACATTGTTTAAATTTAACAAATACATGTAGGATGTGAAAAAAAAGTGAATTTATACAATGCAAAAAAATATTTTTTATATTCAATCAAAGTATTTCTACTCACTCAAATTGTTTGTTTTCTGCGTAATTGAATATTTCCTTAAGTTTTTTGTTTTTCATTATATTAGTCTTTCCATCTTACCAATCCTTCAACCACTGTTTTCTCCTTTTGATCATCTTTGAAAAAGCAATTACACTACTAAAAAGGATATTAAATGGAGTACGTTTGCTTAAATCTGCTGGTTTCTAGGTTTGGAAATAGTTTAGAATCACCATAGTAAGTTTTTTAACTTAAAAAAAAATATATATATTTTTCAAAGTTATGGCTACAAAAATGCTTATTTCACCCAGGCTTGCAAGTTTAGTATTGATCAAATCTTTTGGAAATTTAACGTAATTTTCAATGGTTTCTACGGATTTGTCCAAAACTTTTTAGTTTTCGAGTTATCATTGTTTATTTGAAGCAAGGCCGTGAAATCTTGAAAAATCTGAAAAAGTGAAATAACTCCGAAACTGCTGAGATTCGGACTTTAGTTAATTAGGACTTTTTGGTTCCATTTTGAATGTAGAATCTACTGGCAAAGTTTGTAACACGGGTAGCCGAACAGCTTGTATGTTTAAAATCGGCGGGGTTGGATGTGTTTTTAATATCCGTTAGTAAGGAGAGGGTGATGAGAGGTTCCGACCCACATCATAGAATGATCTATGCTGTGTATGGCTGTTGGAAAAACGCGTTTCTAAAAATACGCGAGCGGTTCACGGTTACGCAGGATCCGCATTGATCAAGATGAACCGGCCTCGGTAGAACTCGTCCGGGTTCGCCGCCTCCGCCGCCGCCGGTCCAAACCCCGCGCACCGCCTCCAGCCCGCCGCCCCCATCGCCCCCACCATTTTTCGTTTTACCCAACGGGCCGGGGACCGAAATCGCGTTCCAAAGGTCGAATGGTGGCCGGGGACAAACCAAAATTTGTCCGCCACACGTGATTTTACAGTCATGTTCAGCGATGATCAGCCTATTCGATACTGCTGTGTCCTCTCATGCGGCAACAATTCCAAAAATACAAATAAACTTTTTGTCAGCGTACCCAGAATCGATTTGTCCAGGAGGCATACATGGATGTACCAGATCGGCAGGCCGCATTGTTCACCGAAAAGCCGTTTGTTTTGCTGCGAGGACCATTTTTACGTAAGTCTTCTGCTTCTGATTTTTTTCTTCATATTATCCCTTCTGTCGACACACTCCCTAGTGCGCAAAATCTGCAAACTGTCTGTCGCATTGTAGACCTAGGTCCCACAAATTCCGTAGTCGCAGGTCGTTTGAATTTAATTTGAATTATGCCGCGTAAAGAGGCATCCTCAAAGAGTTCCTCTGCCGGCTGTTCTGATGTATCGTACATACACACTGACAGGCAAAAAATTCCACCCAATTTTTTTTTTCATTTTCTCCATAAAAGAAAATTCTGCCCTTAATTTGTCTCATTGTTTTTACCAATAAATATCTGTTTATGCTATGTTTTAAATTGAGAATATCAATAGAGGTAAACACACTTAATCCTTAATTCAAAACAAGGATACAGAATTTTTCAATGTTTACTTTTTACATAATTTAAAACGTTTATTCAGTATCATTTGAATTCTGAACTAATAAACCGTTTAGTTTTCATCTTTCTTTTCTTAATTTCAATTAAACTTAAAAATGCCACTTAGTGATGAGGATGTTGCGCATGGTGTGGCACTTATTGATGATGGACGTTCCATCAGGTATGCGGCCATTGCCATCGGAGTTCCCAATGAAGCACTGCGAGACGTTTTCGAGTAACTGGGTCCTACCATAGAAGGTCCCGTTCTGGACGTCCTCGGATAACAGAAACACAGGATGACCGTTTTTGACTTTGAGAATTTTGCGAAACCTGTACCTTACCGTTCAAGCGATTCGTCAGCTCCAGGAAGTTCGAGGTGTCCAAATTTCTGAACGCACTGATCGAAGAAGATTAATTAATTATTGGCCTGATAGCCCCTTAAGAGGATTGACAGAACACACAGAGTTACACGGCTCGTTTTTCCTCGAGAACAGCCATTTCTTTGGACGATTGGTCTGCTGTACGTTTTACAGATGATAGTTGCTCTACGATCTCTAGGTGGGCCTGAAAGAGTGTGGTGGAGGCGAAATGAAAGGTACGAAGCCTGTAATTTTTCCCAGAGCCGACCTTTTCAACGTAACTCTGTGATGGTGTGGGCGGGAATTTCAATGGAGAGTCGTACATAGTTGGTTGTTGTTCGTGGAGGGTCTTTGACGGCCACTCGCTATGTGGATGAAATTTTGGAGCATCGTAGGAACACAGTCTAGGAAGAGAGCCATTTTCTCTGAGTCAGGCGGCACTTAAGTATAGAATCCCTGATAGCAATCAGTGACACCAATGACCTGACCTCGGTATGGGCCCGTTGACATTCGGGACATAGAGGCAATGAAAAATCAGACATGTTGGCCAAAAAAAAAGAGCCAATGTGAATATTCTATGCCTCCTTACTGTGGCCTAGTACCTTGTCACAGGAAACATGCAAAATGTATCCGTAATGAGTCCAAAACTTGTGGATATACTCTAGGCATAGAGCACACGAAGAGATTCATAGAAGGGCCATCGTCAGGCTTCAAAGGAATTACTGGAAGATACCCGCAACAGAACCAGGATTCTGGTTTTACTCATGACAGCCCAGTCGTCCAAGAAGGCCCGTGCACCGGACAGGTCCAGACAGAAGAAACAGTGTGCAGATACAGCCAGAAAGAAGAGGAGACAACGGAACATGTTTTATGTTTTTTTGAGGGTCTATGTAGGTTTAGAATGTTGCAACTAGGAGAAAAAAAGCCGCTCGCAAGATCCTACACTAAGAAGCCGCTGGCAACGCTAGCGAGGCTGATTAACAACCTGAAGCTATCTAGCGATTTATAAAATTGGAGGAGCACAATAGGTCTAGGTATAGAAGGCCTTGTGCTCTTTTATCTCTATCCCTATCCCTAATCCAAAACCCCCGGAATTACATTCCCTACAACCAATGGTAACTTCGCTTAGTCACCGGTTACACAGCAGTCACAAATCGGCATCAGAATGGGGTGTTCGCATTCTCCGTTTCTGCACATACCTCGATTACTATATAATTGCATATTTGTTTTATTTTTGATATTTCTTTTTGGCTAAAAAATCACTTGTTTTCATTTAGTTATGAACCCTATAACTTTGGATAAACGAACAAATCGATTAACGGAAGTAAGATTAGGCAGACAGGACTGTCCATAAGCTATTCTTTAGTTGTTGCACTTTTTGTTTATTGTTCGATAGTTCCGGTCATCTTGGTCTGCCTATCCTCGCTTATTATTTTTGGTTCAGACACCACAGAAATCATCCAAATCCTGAGGTGCCGAGACGCATCTGAACCAGCAAAAATCAGCAAGGATGAGCAGACCAAGACGATGGATATCTATCAAACAACACGTTTATCACCCCGCAGACCACAAGATTATTGTTTAATTTAAACTGAAGTTTATCTATTGTATATATTTTATTAACCATAGTGTTAAGAAGGCCGTTTTGGCGTTTATATTTCAGTTTCCCACTGATTGCGAAAATTACGAAGAATGGACAACCAACGGCGGTGTCCTCCAGTTGAACAGGACAGCTCTTCCGAGATTCAATGTAGGTAAATGTGAAAAAAATGAAATTCTCTTGTTTCTGCAATGCAATTGAAATAATTCTATAGTTATCTTCAAAAAATGGTTGTTCCTTAACAGCTGAGGAAAGATCAGGCGATATACGGTGAAATACTCGACGATCTTTCGTCGCATTTTATCAAATGGTGTTTTGTGCCATCCTGCACCAGCACCATCAACAAGAAGCCGATAAAGATCTTCTTCAGAGTTCCCGAGGCTGATCAAAAAAGGTACCAGAGAAAAATCAGATTTATTTATTATAGACGGTAGTGAACCTGAAACCTAATTGTTTCGGTTTTGATTAACGAGGAAGATGTTTCCTATGGCCAAAAATCACTTTTTGATATTTTGGATTTGGGTGGTCATGCAAATCCAGCTTATTTTTAATTTTTTATAGCCATGAGCAATATTTTTTGAAATGAATTGTTTAGAATCTTATTTTCCACGAGATTTTAAGATTCAATCATCACCCTTGGTGGTTTATAATAAGTACAATATTCAAGATACACAATTGCGTCAAGTACAGTTCAACAAGACATCGATGCTAATTTAGTAATAAATACATTTTAGTTTTCTCAGGTCATAGTTTATCTAGTTGTGTTCACCTCATAACTTTTTGCAAACCCCAAAAGGCTTTGTCCTCTTACGATGTACTGACTTTGTAGCATGTTACGATGTTCGGATTGCTTTGAAAACGTAGACAATTTTGCGAGCATGCCTTGCGAAATGTTTAAATCTCAGTGTATGTCCCGTTGGAAAACATACCAAGGAGCAACCATAATTCGTAGAAATTTATGTTGGAACCGTTGTATTAGGATTGCACTGCTACGTTTGGCACACCCCAAAGTTGTATGCCATACATGCACATAGGTTTTAATGTGTGATTATAAATCATTCCAGCAACCAATAAATTTATCAGTATTTGAAATCAAGTGCTTTCCTTATTTTTTTGATTTACGCTTTCCAATTTAAATTTTATATCTACTGTCAAGTCAAAATACTTACTAATTCTAGAAAGGAACTACTTTACCGCTGAAGACAATTGGTTACTAATTTCCTATTTGTGAAAACATACGGATTTCTGGTAATTTATTTTGACCTATTTTTGCTGTTGACTGCCGTTTACAGTCGGTCCGTGGATGACACTTTTCGTTCGAGAGAGCATCTATCTCATCGGAAAATGTGCGACAATTATGTTTTCAATCAGTGGTAGGTTGTATACACTAAGTACAGCACGAGGCCTAGGACGCTACCCTGTAGTACGCCGGCCTTGATTTCAAACAAATCAGTCTATTCGTTTAACTTGGCACAGTCTTTCGGAAAGATAGATGGTCAAACGTTCAACACATTTTAAGGGAAATATTTATTTTAGCTTATGTATTAAACCTTCATGTCGAACCTTGGCAAAAGCTTGCGATACGTCTAGGATTAATGTGTGGTGATTAGGGGGATAGTAGGGCACTCTCAACACGACACGCAAGAATGGCATACGCAGAAAACAAACACTTTGAGCCCTGAAGATGATCTCAATAAAGATCGAAACGTTGGCACAATAAAGAAAATGTTTTTCTGAAACCTACATCACACCAGACCGCATCTCACGATTTCTGAATAATCTAGGAATAATGCTGAACCTATATCTTTGTCTTCTAGAGCTTTCACTATAATATCAGTGATTCTATGTCTATCTGATCTATGTTGAGTGCTTTACTATGAATCCAAGCTGGTAGCATGGTATTTTTTTCTTTTTTTCATTGAAAGGTTTCAATCTTTTTAGCAAAACTTTTTCGTTTATACAGGGTGTATCAACTTCTATAGTCCATACATTTAATTCGGAAACTAACTTTAGCAAAAAAGGGTCTTATACATAACATACCCCAAGTTAATTTTGGCTAGGAATGGCGTGCTAATAACAGATTTAGCATGACTTTCTCATCTAGCTGGGAAATGACACTAACTTTGTTATTTTATGCATTATATTTCGTGGTACGATTGGCCAAATAACTTTTTTCAATTAATTAATCTTTATGTAAGGTATTGGTTGAAATGAAAAAGTTAGTGTCACGAGCGGGATTCGAACCCACGACCTTGGCCCACGACATTTGAAAAATGATAAAAAGGAGGGCAAATTCGAAAAGTATGTTGAGGAGGGGAGTTGGTGTCCGAGGGGATCGAAGTCACGATAGCTCAAGTGGTTAGAGCAGCGGCGTATTTAGAAGGTCGTGGGTTCGAATCCCGCTCGTGACACTAACTTTTTCATTTCAACCAATACCTTACATAAAGATTAATTAATTGAAATTTGTTATTTTAAATGATAATTTTCGTTTTCCAATTAAATGGGTGGACTGTAGGAATTGATACGCCCTGTATATTTTGTGTACAATGAAATGGTGTTTTTGATTCAAGTTAAATCACAATGTCTATCTCGTACGAATTATATAAAATTTTAAAACAACCGAACTTTTGTGCAAAATCAACCAAATGTAGCATTTTACAGGCGAAAGCATTGGTTTTTTCAAATTAGAAATAACCCCACCCCGGATTTTCTTTTTTGTTGCGAGGATCACTTCGACGTAAGTAGTTGTGTTTTAATATTTTCAGGCAATTTTGAATATATTGATCCTATTTTCTAGTTTACTACGGATATAGTGAATTTTCCCGAATACTTGAGAAGAGGGTGTGATATAAGACTGCTGGTTTTGAAAGAAGACGTTGTGCCTCATTTGAACTTGCATTACCGCGATTTTCCGACTCGTAACTATAATAATGGTTATACAATTTAAAGTTGATATTTATTTCCTGTTACAGATTTTGTACTGTTTCAGTTCTGACCGTAGGAGGAAAAACAAAACCCTCGGCGAACACTGAAAAGTGTCAAACCATGGCGAAACGGCTGGACTTTCAAGCTGAAATCGTTAAAATCACACCGTCTAAGGAAGAAGACGTCTCGGTAATGACAGATTCGGAAATTGAACACAACCAGAAAAGAAAAAACGTTGGTATTTGTATATATTTTGTTATTACTTTCTGTTAAATCTATAAACCTGTTTCTGATAGTTTCTTGTTCTGTAGAGGAAGAAACTAACAGAAAAGAGAAATTACGGAGGGTACGACGGATTGAAACTTGTAACGAGCCGGTACGGCAAAGATCTTTTGCTTCATAATGGAAATAGTTATTGCAAATCCCACGTTTTAAGAAGTGGAAGAGTTAGATGGAGGTATGACTTCTTTTGGAAAAGATATTTAATATTCACCACTCATATTGGGCCGTTTCACATATGATTTTATGTTCATTATTTTAGTAAAAAATAATTGAAATATCAATGTTGATTTTTTTTGCATTTGCTTCTTTCGTAATTGGCTCAGAGACAATCTGTTTCCCTTTCTGATCAAATTTTTAAGTCCGCAGCCCTTAGAAAATGCAAAACTGCATTGTGCACTTCCAAATCATTTAATTACGGATTTTTAATTAAACGGTTTGATCAGCTTTCTAATTCTGTACAGACTGTCCAACATCTTTGTTCTTTCATTATGATATTTTTTCCTTTTCATTGTGAGATATTCCAGGTCTTCCCTCACTTCGCATACGTCTATATTTTCTTCAAATATGTTCCACTTATTCCGCGGTTAGACCTGATTCTATTTATTGTAGTGCACTGTTTTTTAGAAATTGGAAATTTAAGGAACCACGTTCGTCGGGTTTATATACCGGTAAAATTTACCAGTGGAGCAGGAGTTCCTTGTTCCACCTGTCATATACTTCCTTTTTCAAATTGCCTTTGAACTCCTCAACTGGTATGGGGGATTGTAAATTTTGCCATTTTTTCACAGCTTGCCTTGCCATGCTGTCCACAAACTCATTGCCTTGGGCGAACTGGCACCGCACTTTATTCGGGTCATCTTGAAGATGACCCGAATAAAGGTCGAAACGTCGGCAAAAAAATGAAAAAGGTGTTTTTCTAAAGTACCCCGTTCTTGAACTCACAAATCCAACAAATTACTGAACAACTTACATCCGGATCGAATCTGTGAGTAGGACCATCATTTTTACAAAAAGTCAAGAACGGGAAACAGACATTTATACTGCCGCTTTAACAGATAAAACGATAGAGTTTAAACGCAGATTAAGAAGATTATACGCAAATTACGATTTCTTTTAGCAATTCTGACCGTATTGACAATGGTCAAATCATACACCAAAGCGAAGGAAGTTTTGTGCAAATCGGACTTTTCTTGTCAAACGGCCCAATAAAACACTTCAGCCGTATCCTAGTATCTGTTTGATACATATTCAATTGTATTATTTAAGTTTAAAGAAATTTTTGAAATATCCAGGTGTTCGAGGAGGACGAGGAAGTTATGCCGCGCCCAGTTCATAACAGAACCGGATAAAACGACTTTTGTACCTGGCACGGCAAGGCTGCAGCACAACCACCCGCCTATCTTCCCCGTTCATGAGAAAAATACTACTCACAACAAGAGGAACGTAGAAAAGGTAGTTAATTATCTATACAAATTCCAACCCACTTACGACTTGGGAAAGAAAAATTGTTTCCTTAATTAGTTATATCTCTTCCGTCATTTTCTGTTTTACCATTCAAACACTAGTTAAGATTTTATACATATTTATACATGTTTCGGGCTCTTTGACTCAGCTATCCAATGAGTCATTTTTCTGCGACTTCTACAACGGACGATTTGGCATGCACAGGCTTGACAGAAATAACTTGATTTTCTAAGCAAGTGGTGCATTATTTTTCGTGTGGTGAGTCGAAAAATACACCAATGTATTTCACTCAAAGGAACTAAAACAAAAAACCGGACAGTTGATAGCGATATCACCACTACCATCCGTGATGGTCTACGTGGTTAGGGCCACCGGAAGTTTCGATCGAAGAGAAGGTAGTAGTCGACCACGATGTACGAAAAGAAGGATTTGATCGTTTTATTGTATTTACGGAACCGTTAACGGCTTCCTTGTTAGGTAGTTAACTCCAAACCGTCCGTAATGTAATGGTAAATTCAAAAACATCAATCAAAAGGTTTCGTGAGAATAACTTTGTTTCTAGATGTTCCGCAGAGTTTTCTACTACTGAAGAGGCATCGAATAGAAAAGGCGACTTTGAACAATGGGAGGGTTGTTCTCTTTACAGATGAGTGCATATTTGGTGGAGAACGCTTTGCTTCAAGTGCCAAGCGTGAGTTACAGCCTTTTCAAAGACAGTTATGGTATGGTGTGGAACGCCCATGCCCGTACCGAACTGGTTGTCTTACAGAATGGATCTTTGATTGAGGAAGTTCTTCTGGAAGCTGTGGTTCCATTCGGTCGTTTTATTGGGGACAACTTCGTCAATGATAATGCTCGACCTCGTGTAGGTGAGTTGTCACCCATTGTTTATAGTGAGTAGGGATTACCACAATGAATTGGCCAGCACGTTCTGACATGAATCTCTCATGTCACAGAACTCTTATGGAATATGATAAAAGTCAGGATAGACATCGTTCGCCTCCAACAAGCATTAAACAGCTTCAGCTCTTGCTGAATAATGGAATTCGAATGACGGTTGTTTACTAGAAGCCTAGGAGATTTACGGCCAAAAAAACATACATGGTTTCCGGACAACAACATGGTGTCCGGTTTGTTTGAAGTTGAGTGTATCGAGTGTTTTGGATGTTATGTAAAGAGAATAAACAAAAACATTATTATCACAAGTATATAAATATAATTAATCTAGTCTTGTAATGAGTACAGGCAGTATACAAGAAAACTTTCTCTCCGGTTTTCAGCCTTTCAGTTTTACCCCTTGTTTTGTGCACTTGAGCTTCAAGAGGAGAAACTTCATTCATGCACGGATCATGTAATATTTTATGCTCCTCGATTCCTTGTCTGAGGTTGTTACCCTTAAGAAAATCAAAACAAGTTGAATTAATTTAAGTTTTTTCTTGTTAGTGGCGTGATGTGTTAACCCCACTGAGGTTCAACGGCCGCGATTCGTAATGGTACATTTGTGCAAGTTGAAAGTTGTGTTTGTCGTTATGGATCATCGGAAAAGCACTCGCGCGCTCCGCCAGTGTTTTAATATTCAGATTAGTTTAATGAGTTGTATCATCCGTCATAATTCAAATTTCTTCAACATCCGGAACTAAACGTGCACAGGAAGCCCGACCTACCACATCCACAAGATAGCAGCAACCGGGACGACCAATCCAAGAACAACCACCCAATACCATCCTCCCTCTGATATCTCCTTCTATTATACCATTATCCCTAAAGTCTAGAAGTCTAAACCTAACAGTATTTTGTTAAAATAAAAACTGGACATACAAGGAGTAAGCAATTAAGCTAGCATAAATGAGATTGATACCTACATTGATTATACTGAGCTGTTTTATATTATGGAGGTACACCCACATTCCATGGCCCGATTTAATCCTGGTTTTTATTGTGTCCCTACATATCTTTTGGTCCATGCCCAGTCCATGGAACCTAACAGTATTTTACTAAAATATAAACGGGACATACAAGGAGTAAGCAGTTAGGCTAGCATAAATGTGGAAACAGTAATTATATGAATTTTTCGCCACATATCTAGAACAAGCCGTTTCAAATCTAAATCCTCAATGGTGCTGCATGTCCTACACTGATTATACTGAGCTATTTTATGCTATGGACGTTATGGAGGTACATCCACATTCCATGGCCCGATTTAAGCCGGGTTATTTCTTGCATCTCTACTATCTCTTTTAGTCCATACCCTGTCCATGGGACCTAACAGTATTTTGTTAAAATATAAACGGGACATACAAGGAGTTAGCAATTAAGCTAGCATAAATGTGGAAACATAATTATATGATTTTTTTTCTCCACATATCTAGAGCAAGCCGTTACAAATCTAAATCCTCAGTAGTGTTGCATGTCCTACACTGATTATACTGCGCTGTTTTATGCTATGGACGTTATGGAGGTACATCCACATTCTATGGCCCGATTTAAGTCGGGTTAGGTAGGCGAATAGGGCCGGGTGATGCAAAAGCGAAGAAACGAATGAGCACGCGTCCATTAGAACCAATTCGTTCGGTCGTGTACGGCCGAAGCACTTTCCGATCCAAACAAAGTTGGATTTTCCAGTCCTATTCGGCCGAATGGTTACTTCGACTTCAACTGTCAACCACGTGACATCAAACGCTCACCATTGTTTAACGCCGTTCTTTGCTTTTTGCTTACCTTTTCGTTTCGTTTTCATTTCGATGGATTGCGAAAAATTGGTAAGTGCGGTTGAGGAGCAGGCTCTTGGGACATGCGTGATCCACTCTATCATCGGAGATATGTCCAGCGTAAGCTGTGGTCAAGGATAGCTTTAGAAATGGACCTTCCAATATTTTTGTTTATTTCTTTCATTCCATTTGTATATTGTATTGTATGTAAACTAAGAATTTTTGAGCAGCAACAAATCATCTACATCCATTTGGGCTGTGTCGTGAACTGACGAAAATCGCTACAGTGTACGACGGCGTTCGGCTATATTGCCGGTCGTCCGTTTAGTCAAATAGTTCGGCTGTTGAACGGCCGTCGTAGTTCTGTTCCAATGAACGAGCAGCCTTATTCTTGCATCTCTACTATCTCTTTTGGTCCATACCCAGTCCATGGGACCAAACAGTATTTTGTTAAAAACTAGACATACAAGGAGTAAGCAATTAAGCTAGCATAAATGTGGAAACATAATTATATGATTTTTTCTCCACATATCTAGAGCAAGCCGTTACAAATCTAAATCCTCAATGGTGTTGCATGTCCTACACTGATTATACTGCGCTGTTTTATGTTAAGTAGGTACACCCACATTCTATGGCCCGACTTAAGCCTGGTTATTCTTGTATCTCTATCTCTTTTGGTCCAGGCCAGTCCATGGGACCTAGCAGTATTTTGTTAAAATATAAACGGGACGTACAATGAGTAAGCAGTTAGGCTAGCATAAATGTGGAGCGCAGTAATTATAAGATAAACTGTGTTGTAAAGGAGATCTGCTACTATGCACGTTATATGTTGTGAGATCGGGGCCCAATGAATATTACGGTATTGAAACTATGCTTTCGATGTTTTCACCTTCCTTGTGGAACTGATATGTCCCAGATGTCCGCCTGGATTCGCTTTGTTCAATCTATTGATTTTATTTACAGACTCGATAGTTTATTTAAATTGAAACATTCTAGACGAGCGACCAGCCCCAATTATTCTGCATTTGGCCGACGTCCCTAGGGTGCCGAAAATGGCATCTGGCCCTGGGTACACCTTTTTTCTTACTTTCCGCCCGAGGGTTAAGCCCCTGGCGATTGTTGCCGCCGACCCTGCTGTGTTGTCATTTATCGACATGCTTAAATTCCACGTAGAGCCCCTCCTTACCCGAGGTCGTGCAATTGAATGACTCAGCGAGACCCGACGGACGGAAGTAGGGGGGCGTCAAACGCCTCTCTCATCCGCCGGCCAACGGACTCGGTCGTAAACTTCGTATTTTATGCCATTTCGCATAATAAAATATTTCCGGTGGATAAAAGTTACAGAGGTTTTCCAAAAGTTTCACCTTGGAACAGTTAGAAAATAACAATTTCGGGGGAAAATACGGCCTTAAAGAACATTTGTTTCTACCTTTCACAACACAAATATTGCACTTTCCACCAATAACGGTTTTTTTTATTAAATTTTTGTAGTTACCCACATAACATGGTTATATGCAAAAATTTATGTGTATTTATTTTGTTTTAGCATGGAAACTCTCCTAAAAAAAAGTCGGATATGTTGCTTCGAAAACAGTCGACGTATGATTCCGCTTCAATAAACGAGTACGAGGCACCGCGAGGAAGAAAAGAGAAAGAGAATTCTTTTGATGAGAATTTTCCTAAAAGTCAATATGAAAAGACTGATATAACAACGGCCAAACGACTGTTTCTCCTTAGTTTTCTACCCGACTTGAAAGAAATGTCCACATCGCAGTTGCAAATATTCAAACAAAACGTATTTCACACAGCAAGCACGATTCTAAGTTGATATTAATGTTTTTTACATTAATAGTTCACTCTGTAGCTTTTTAATACGGTTCTTCTGTTTATTTGTGTTACAACTTTAATTTAGGGTTACAATTCCGATACAAGCTAAAGCTTATTCTTCCAAATTTCCTATAATAACATAATAACTAACCTAAACCTAACAAATCCTGTCATCAAGCTATTTCTTAAACTTTTATTATCTAATAATTTCCAAGGTTAATAAACATAAACATCTACTTAATGAATTTATGAATTGAGTTTACATCCGTATGAAGGTAAAGATTAAGTGGATTTGAAAAAATGTCCGAAAGTAGATGGAGACTACCTTTGGCCATGAGTTTACATTGGACGAGACATCCATGTCAGAATTGTAATTTCTGAATATCTGTTTAATCCTTCGCTCCTACCTAATCGAAGGATTCTTCCGAGTCTATAATGTCTACTCCGACTATTGCCCTCTGAGAGCGAGTACCACAGGGCAGCGCGTTTAGACCAATCATTTACCTGCTCTACAGGATATGGTTAATTCACTATTCTCCTTTGCCGAAGACATTGCTTTGCTTTCCTTTGGTCCAGATCCTGCAACAGAGAAGCTCCAGGAATGTCCTGCTAATAACCGATTGGATTTGGAGGATAATATGAAAGCAAAAGTACCTTGATCCAAGAAAAACCCCTCATCAAATATTTCTTAACGATACTCCTAACTTTAACCTTTTATGACCCAATGTTGCCTTAGAGCAAGACGAATATGAACAATTTAGTTAAAAAGTTAAACAACGGGATATCCTATAAGTTTGGGTGAACATTTTACTGATGACGTCCTTGCAAGGAAAGAAGCTGCTATACCTCTGACAGGTCCTGAGACCTTCTATGGCATAGGGATTATTAGACAAAAATACAAACTGAAAATGAGGAATTAGTTGAATTATTGGACATAAATAATTCAAGAACCTTCTTGCAAGGCAGTAAAGTTACCCCAATCCTTATCCAATAAAAACAACCCCTGAAACCCCATCAGTCGACTGAAACAGTGATGATACAATCGGGGATTAATCCTTGTCTAAAGTTGGGAGGAATTTCTTGTATCTCATTACATAATGTAAATAATTAAAAATTAATGATTGTAAATTTAATTAATTTTTCAGAAAATACACTTTGCGTGTGAAATTATATAGGAAAAGCTCGTAATTCGTGACCAGCAAAAAGAATTATAAAAGGAAGTAATATTTAATTAATGGGCTAATCCAATATATTAAGAAGATAACTAAATATTTTCAAAAAAAGGCTCGTATTAATTAAAAATTGCTATTTTTCTGTATTAATTATTACGAAATACAGTAATTATTAAAAATTTTAATATCCAAATCGTAATAAAGCAGTACTCTATGGAGGACGTGTTGTGAAGTCCCGAATAATTCCCTTTTTATTTTATAAAGAAATTTTTAATTATATCATAAATATCACAAATTAGTATTTTCCTCTCATCTCCAGGAATCTGTCGATTCAATGTGCACATGCAATGCTTTCGTTTAAGAAATAACCGTGAAAACTTACAATGTTTGTCATATGTTTATAAATAATTTACAAGGTTGACAAATATGAACGTCTAAATACTTACGATACTGCAACTGACGTTTAAAAAAATTATGAGTTGACTTTACGTTTGACGAGATATACCACCCTCCATTGTATATCGGAATTGTAACCATAAACTTACAAATACCCCCTAATCTAAGGATTCTTTGATTGGAATAGGACTATTGTCCTTTGGGAGCTGGAGTACCAAAGGGCAGCGTGCTTGGACCAATTATTTACCTGCTTTACAACACAGATATTCCGAATTCAACATCTCTGGCAGCGTCCTAAATGTGAAATTAGTATTTTCCTCTCATCTCTAGAAATATGTCGACGCAATGTGTTGAAATATGTTCTTCTTATTAAGAAATAACAGGGACATATGTACTATCTTGTAATATGTAAATAAACCGTACAGTTACAGTGTTATTTTTATAAGTAGTATTCCATATATATCCAGACTTCCATGTTTGTACCGGGTGGTGTGTTTATGTTAATTCATTGTAGCGAATCTAATTTATTAGCGTGGAAGGATGGAGTTGTTTAACCCCGGAATAGCGAGTACTCTGGGGAGGGTGAAGTCTAGAGAGTAAAAATAAGTTATTAGCGAGAAGTAAGTTCAATCCACACCAAGTAATATAAAGTACTCTGGAGGAATAAATATGACTAGACTTCTATGTTTGTATCAGGAGTTTATGTTAATTATTAAAATGAATGTAATTTATTAGCGTGAAGGAAATGTTTAACTCTGCCACAGGAATATCGAGTACGGACTGGAATTATGGGGCTATATCTTACATCATCAAGTAATACCACTAACTGAACCGATTTTTTTCATCGGTGTGAATTTCAAGACACCCGAATTTAATGTTAAGGCACAGAGCGCGCGATCAAAGTTTGACACCCTGGTTTGATGTAACCTTCGCAGTTATATCACTCCCGGCATTTCTGAGTTTGGAAGGATTAGCGTATTCTCAAAATACCTAATCCTTGGTGATGTTCCTCGTGTTAGTGTTCCAGGTGTACACAGCTGACCTCACATCCTTAATCCACCACCCTAACTTTTCAGACGATACAACGATCCTCTCAAGAAACTCTGATATGTCAATTCCACTCGCAACCTTCAACGATAAGTCAATCCAGAAAAATCCACCGACATAACCTGCAAAAAAATTCCCTTGTCCAGTTTAATCCCTCTCCCAACTGCGGACACAATGCGGTACCTAGGACTGTACATAGACAAATATTTCACGTCGAATCCCCACACTCGATTGAAACGTCAAGAGGTTATAACACGATACAGAGCACTTTCACGACTTAACGTTCTTACTTAGCACTTACAAATGCAAGACTACCAACCAAATACTCAGTGAAGCCGACGAAGAAGCGAACAAGGGTCACTGAGATTTGCATTGAAGCATTGGTAAGTTTTGTTCGGATCGAACTATCGACATCATGATGGAAAGTGGATCATTTCAAGTATTCAAAGCGTAGGGAATGCCCATGTACTTACGGCTTATACTTTCAGTTTCCCTGATAAATGAGTATCATCAAACATTTTACGTACCTAATCTTTTCAAAATCTTGAAGAATTGCTGTATCCCTAGTTATTTGTTTTTTACTCCAAGAGGCAGTATTTCAACTCCTCTCCTGACGCCACCCGGGTGTAAGCCTTTTCTTCGCTGACGTGAGGTGCAAGACAGCGCATGAACAGTTAAAGATGTATCTGGACGGATTTAGCACCAGACAGAAAAAAAAATCGGACAGACAATATCCCTTTGGTACTAAGTACTTCTGCTTACTGCTGTAAATCCCGTACACAGCCACCAATTTTTGACAGTTGACCATTCTGACATTGTCGTTGACAGTCTACTGACTTACTACTTTCGGCTGTTCTCCACACTTCTCAAATGCTCTAACAACTCCCTAAAAAAGCAATTATATTTCTCACATACCTTTACCATTGTTTATTACACAGCTGACACCGATCCGTGACTTGGGAAATCTGCAATCGTATATAGCAGATTGGTGTAAACAATGGAAAATGAATATAAATGAAAGCGAGTGCGTCCATGTCACACACTGAGAAGCAAATTTCCTCTCACAATATACTACAACGTTCCTATCCTCAAAACCCTGAGTTCCACCTAGACGTTTAACGTGGAAACAGATGCTACAATCGACAATTCAAGCTATCGATGAAAAATAAACTTACAATTTACAAAACGTTACTGTAACCAATTTGTACGGAAAGAACTTTCGGGAACCGATAAACCTTCCAATATCCAACGCCTCCAAACCTTTCAATCTAAACTCCTCAGATCAAATAATGTGTATTATGTCTCCAATACTACTACCCTCAACCACTACCTTAAAATTCCATTTAGCCCAAAATTTTCCGTTCCACAATAATCTCTCCCATCACCCATAATGATGTCCCCACAAGCCTTGTCCGACAGAACCCATCCCTACAATCCCATAAGGCGTCTCAAGAGGAAGTGGCCCAGCGACCGCCTTTCTGAAGAGTGAGTAGTGAAGTTTAATTAGTGAGTTGGAGAATAATATTGCCTATTTGCTCTCCTCTATGTAAATAGTTAAATAGTTGTAAATATCTCGCTGTACCATAAAATTACAGATTGTAATAAAATAGTTAAATAAAACCAAAACTTTCGGGTTATTTTGTAAAGCCTTGTAAGTTCGACTGTTCGTGTGTATGACTGGAATCAAATTCATTTTAAATCCAGGCCACCGACATACTCCATTTACGTTTTATGGTATGACTCACAAAGAGATCCGTATTTCTTTACTAATTTTGGCTCCTTTAAATAAAGCTCCATTATTATTATAAATTATTTCAATTAATTATTCTTTTTATTTAAGATCTTGGTTGAGATGAAAAAGTGTCACGAGCAGGATTCGAACCCACGACCTTCGGTGCAATACGCCGCTGCTCTAACCTCTTGAGCAATTTGACTTCGTGGGTTCGAATCCCGCTCGTGACACTTCTCAACCAAGATCTTAAATAAAAAGAATAATTAATTGGTCAATTATGACTACTAAACATAAATGGATTATTATTAATGGAGAACCAGCTCGTAGCATCAAATGCTCCAGAACGTTTTTTTTTGTCTCACTAACTATTGATTCCGTCACTATGAATTGTATGTATGCATAACTATGCAATGTGTGTTTAATTTTTTATAATTCGTAGTTTTAAATTATTGCGTACATGCCCTTGCATTCAATTTTTCTTTGTATATATACGTATATAAATTGTTAAGTGATTCCCAGGTTCTTTAGCATGAGCATTATGAAAAATATAATTTTTCGTTGTCTACTTTTGACTAAATTTAAATGAAATATACTGCTTTACACGGTTTTTAAATATATGTATAAGCAAAATTTCCCGTGAAAAAAGTGCGGGAAGCGGTTTGTTTTCTGCCCCGTGGCCGAGTTATGTTGTGCGTCCATGTGAGAAGAGGAATTCGTCCATCGTTCGACTTGTTCATCGACGTTGCCGTGTAGTACGGTGAACTGACTCATTGCTGGGGAGTTTTTTAAGGACAGACAACGTTCACGGCCAGACCTGAAACCAGACCCCTCCAACTAGGCTACGATCTGCAGACGACCCATTCATCAAAAACCCTACGTGCTGTCTGGAAATATTTCAACCCTTCTCTTGTCTTTTCCTTGCAGAATGGATTAATTGAGAAATAAAATGTTGAGGTGAGGGGCAACGTGAAGCAGAATGACTGTCAAATCACAATGATCAAAATTATTATCCAAAAAGAAATGTAATTGAGCGGCATGACATGTAGCCGATATTTTTTAGAAAAATAATAAATAATAAAATCCCTTGTTTGATCATCCTGGTCCGCCTACAATCGATTTCATTGGTTCAGATGCCATCATCAATGGCAAAACGCATTTGAACCAACAGAAATCAGGAAGGTACAGTTGAACCTGGATAAGTGGAATCTGGGGTAGTGAGAAATCCTGGTAAAGTGACAGAAACATTGTGGTCCCATCACTCTTTTGGGGCTCAAATACTGGATAAAATGACAGAAATGTTGTGGTCCCATCACTTTTGGGGCTCAAATCTTGGATAAGTGTCAGAAATGTTGTGGTCCCATCACTCTTTTGGGGCCAAATCCTGGATAAGTGTCAGAAATGTTGTGGTCCCATCCCTCTTTTGGGGCTCAAATACTGGATAAAATGACAGAAATGTTGTGGTCCCAACACTCTTTTGGGGCCAAATCCTGGATAAGTGTCAGAAATGTTGTGGTCCCATCACTCTTTTGGGGCCAAATCCTGGATAAGTGTCAGAAATGTTGTGGTCCCATCACTCTTTTGGGGCTCAAATCCTGGATAAGTGACAGAAATATGTTGTGGTCCCAACACTCTTTTGGGGCTCAAATCCTGGATAAATGACAGAAATGTTGTGGTCCCATCACTTTTGGGGCTCAAATCCTGGATAAATGACAGAAATGTTGTGTTCCCATCACTCTTTTGGGGCTCAAATCCTGGATAAAATGACAGAAATGTTGTGGTCCCATCACTTTTGGGGCTCAAATCTTGGATAAGTGTCAGAAATGTTGTGTTCCCATCACTCTTTTGGGGCTCAAATCCTGGATAAGTGTCAGAAATGTTGTGGTCCCATCACTCTTTTGGGGCTCAAATCCTGGATAAGTGACAGAAATGTTGTGGTCCCAACACTCTTTTGGGGCTCAAATCCTGGATAAATGACAGAAATGTTGTGGTCCCATCACTCTTTTGGGGCCAAATCCTGGATAAGTGACAAATCCTGACCTCCTTAAGTGAAATCCACCATCCATCCGGCTTGGTACTATGACAGCTAGCACGATCGCTAATTGCTTTAATACCTGTTTGACCTTTTGACATATGTACTCACCTATAAATATGTAGTACGTACAACATTGAGTATGTACATTGTGATAACATACAATACATTGAAATGCATTGTTTTCTATTTTCAACCTATTTAAATTAATCTATTTTGAATCTATCCAGATAAGTGAACATAATCTGCTAGTCACCTTCATACTGCTCCGCCTACCCTCATTGATTTCTTTGGTTCAGATGCCATCATCAATGGGGAAACCATCGGACCCAACAGAAACCAGCAACGATAGGTGATCAGGATGATAGGTAACTATTAAACAATGGGTTTATCACCTTGCAGACCTCAAGAGGGCATCTCACAAATAATAAAATGTTTAAAAATCCACCATTGCTATTAAGACTACTATAATTTATTATGCCTATTACACACACAGTTGAACCTGGGTTAGTGAGAAATCCTGGATAAGTGACAGAAATGTTGTGCTACCGTCACTCTTTTAGGGTTCAAATCCTGGACGGAAATTTAACATGTCTACAAAACATTATTAAAACCAATTTGGACATGGATAGGAAATACGTGATTCCACTAACCCACCCAACTAAAGATGCAGTCTTTCCACCAAGTCCTCAGAACCATTGTCAACTACGTTTCCAACACTACCCTACAACTCCACAAAATCTATCAAGTAAACAAACACTTTATAAGACCCTATTAAAACCAATATGTACATATGGGCTAGAATTGTGGGGCACTGCTAAACCAACCAATATCCAACGAATTCAGTTCTTACAATCCTAATCCTCGGAATCATAGTCAATGCTCCCTACTATGTCTCGAATACCACATCCAAAGCGACCTCAAAATACTCTGCAAATAAATTAAGCCCCACCAAATTTTCTAAGTGTGGGCTTTGGCCCGAAAGTAAGTCTCTGTGTGTCAACCTTGCCCGATCTATTTTTTACTCATGTAAGGATGACCCTTCTATAAGTTGGGTCCTCCTAGGGCTATCGATCATGCTCTTGATACACATGAGATTTTCTGCCAATCTGGCCCACCAACTCTAATTTTTTTTATTGCATTTTTAACGGCAGAGGGCTGGTGTTTTAATGAAGTGCTCTAAGTTTTTCTGTAATATTGAGTTTTATAGAATCCATGCCCTCTTTTTCAACTGTTTATCTTTAACCTTATTCAAATAAGAAGCTTTATCAACCTCAATCGTACCGGTCTCTGATTATTATTTCTGTCTCTTGGTCAAATGCATTTCACCATTTTTCGTAACCAATCTGCATTCTTGAGAAAATATTAATTAATTAAAGAATTCAAAAACCACCATGACAACTTGTCAAATAGTTTGTTACCAACAGATTCAAATATAAAATGGGATATTTTCAGAAGAATAATACATCAGATATTTTTTAAAAACATTTTTTATTAGAGGAACCGATTTTCTCATGTGACTGCTCTTGGCAAAACAGCACAAACTTTCTAAATTTTTACATTAACATTACAAAAATACAATTTGTCTTCAACAGCAAAAAGCACATAGAACTGTACTAATTTTAACTCAGATTGACCTTAAATAAATTATTCAATTACATCAGATTAACAAGAAAGACAACTTAAAATGGATGAACAAATAAGTTAAGTTGTAATTTTATTTTAAAAAAATTATAAATGTATTTGTTTGTTGTAAGTAATATAAATAAATGAAATTTAAAAAATATATATATAATTACAGAAATTCCAATGTCAATTTTTGAAAAATTTAAAAGATTTATAATTTGAGCCTTACCGGTAATCTTACTCTGTTCCATGCTGTGATCGTAATTTAAACTTCAAAGGGTCTGCAGCGAGGATAGAGGACAAAGATAAGGTAAGGATCAAATTACGTTTTCATCATCCTCAACAGGAAATCTCATGATTTAAAAACATTTTTTCTAATACCTTAATTTATTTAACTTTGTTGTATTATCTCACATGGTAGAAATACATGCACCATGTTCATACTAAAAATTGACAATGGATCCTAAAAACGAAAAAACAAGCAGTACGACTTATCTTAATGATGGAATAATAATACAATTTTGTTTTTATGGTTAAAAATGTCTTTGTGTATTATTAACGCTTTCAATCACCTGCAAGTTGTTTTTCTAAAATTCTGTTCTGTAACTTTAACCGTTCATTTTGAAGTTGAATTTGTTCATTTTTTAATCTCAGGTTTTTAATAATTAAACGTTCTTTTAAATAATACAACTTTCTCTTCTGCTTTTTAATGGCTAAAAAAAAGTAAACTCATATTAAAGCCAACTGATAAAATTGCTGATAAAAGTAAGTACATACTTCGCCTGTCACTAATTCCACTAGACGTTGGAGTATTTTCAGCTGGTTTTTCAGTGTGAATCTTAAATGGTTTCTTGTGATCATAAAAAAAATAACATTAATTACATTTAATTAGGCCATAAAAATAAAAATGCACATGTACAACATACTTGTAGTTTTTGGATAGGAGCTAGTTTTTTCAAACGAACAGATGCTACACTAGGACAGGCGTCTAATTTTAAAGTTGACCCGGCAGTTCCGGATACAAAGTCATTTGGTTTTCTAAAATGTGACAAACAAACGACAAATCTATCGGAGTCCCAGTTTTCTGAAATCAATTTGAAATTAAATTCAGTAGAAATTATTATCAATTATATATTTGAATGTATATCTTATTTTTTGTATGGTAAACTCCGGGATAAGGAAAATTTGAAACAAAAGAAAAACACTAAGTCTTCAAGCTTTCAAAGAATGTATCATCTTAATCAGAACTTTGGAACTTTCTGATTTTGTAAGGTTTTCTCGGTTCTTACCTGGTTTCCCCAGTATTTTCTTCCATTTAGACTTTATTTCTTGTACCGTTGGGAAATAAACATAAGAATCCTTCTTGTCATTTTTAGTATTGTACAACTGTGAGCAAGATCTAACAGCACATGCTACAAACCCTAATCCTAAATTAAAGAGAGAAAAAAAGTGTTATAACAATGTAATATATTAAAAATAATTTAAAAACAAACCTGCACATGACACACATATAACTTGACCTTCTTTACAAAATTTTGAGCAATTTGGCATTGCAATACACTGAACTGGAAAGAAAAAAAGATTGTTTGATTAAGAATCACAATACTCGTACAACATATATAACACCAGAAGGACGATAAAACCATCGAGAGTAATCTGACTGAAGTACACTTCACTAATGCTCTCCATTGCCATTTCATTTGTCGTCGAGAATCCAATCCGATTACACGACATTTGAAAAATGGCAAAAAGGAGGGAAAACTCATAAGGTGGGGTTGAGATGGGAAGTTAGTGTCCGAGTGGATCGAGGTCACGATAGCTCAAGTGGTAGAGCAGCGGCGTATCTAGCTGAAGATCATGGGTTCGAATCCCGCTCGTGCCATTAACTTTTTTTATCTCAACTAAAAACCTTAATTAATTGTAATATATTAAAAATTGGCCAAGTGGACCAGGAAATTAGTGAATTTAAGTAATCTGAATATTTTTTTTTCTTTTTACTCTAGTTGATCTGGTTTAATAATAGTTACAATTAATTAAGGTTTTTAGTTGAGATAAAAAAGTCAATGGCACGAGCAGGATTCGAACCCACGATCTTCGGCTAGATACGCTGCTGCTCTACCACTTGAGCTATTGTGACCTCGATCCACTCGGACACTAACTTCCCATCTCAATCCCACCCACCTTTTGAATTTTCCCTCCTTTTTGACATTTTTCAAGGGGAGATGGGGTTGAAATGGGAAGTTAGTGTCCGAGTGGATCAAGGTCACGATAGCTCAAGTGGTAGAGCAGCAGCATGTCTAGCCGAAGATCATGGGTTGGAATCACGCTTGTGCCATCGACTTTTTTATCTCAACTAAAAACCTTAATTAATTGTAATATATTAATTGGTCAAGCGGACCACAAAATTAGTGAATTTAATGAATTTAAATGAAGTATATCTCACTAAAGCTCTCCGTGGCCATTTCATTTGTCGCCGAGAATTTAATCCGATTACATGACATTTTAAAAAATGGCAAAAAGGAGGGAATATTCAAAAGGTGGGGTTGAGATGGGAAGTTAGTGTCCGAGTGGATCGAGGTCACGATAGCTCAAGTGGTAGAGCAGCGGCGTGTCTAGCTGAAGATCGTGGGTTCAAATCCTGCTCGTGCCATTGACTTTTTTATCTCAACTAAAAACCGTAATTAATTGTAATATATTAATTGGTCAAGAGGACCACGAAATTAGTGAATTTAATAATAGCATTCAGTCGGATATGGATTAGGACTAATTAGTGTGTCATTTTAAGTCAGTAGTATTAATGGCATCTTGGAAAACATGGTTAAATTTATCGCTCATCTATTGTCAACATAGCCACTGCAGACAAGAAATAATTCAGAAAAAGTTTCTTGGTGGAAGCCACTTCAATATTTCGCCAATTTGCATGTTTTTTCATATGGTCTTTTTTCTCCTGATTCTTCGTCATGTCCTTCCCATCATTGACATCGCCTAATTACCAGGGCTACTCTGACAAAAGGAATCATCTATCTAAACGTTCACCGTATTTAAGAGAAGTGGTACCAGTGGTATTTTTAATCTCATATACTGGTTTATATAATTAGTAATTGTAATGTACATAACATTAATTATTTAATTCATTCATTTATTACATTTAACATTAAATAAATGATTAGATATTTTTAATTCAACATTTTCCAACCATTTGTTGTGACCCACGAGCGTGCACATGGCAAAACGAAACGCCATATCTCTCATGTTGAGCATGTTCAAAATGAAAAAACCACAACTTTTATTATGCACCAACTCGCTCATTGCAGTCAGGAAAACAGCATCTGTGGACCCTTTAATAAATAAGACGCTACATAGAGATAACTGGGAACGAATATAAGACTTCATGCTTCTGAAACCGTATGCCCAGCAGATTTAAAACTATTAATTTCAAAGACAGTAAAAGAAGAGCGGCTAGCATTTTTTTAGGCTAGGTTATCGACGTAGTATACGTATAAAATTAGAGAGTCGGTAACCACATCGAGAAGCTCAAATGGCTGCGGTTGAAAAATAGCCATGAACAACCAGAAAAAGAGGAAAACACACAGAGGGCCGGAGATGACCTCACCTTTTTGTCAGCTCCTAAACTTCCCACATTATTATTATTTTTGTAATTATGAAGTTATTGAGTTCAACCAATAACCACAATTAAATATAAATTTTGGTTATTTTTGTATTTCTTTATTTTTATACACCTGCATGTTTGATTTTTTTTACCGAATTATTATTTTTTAAATTTTAATTTATTTACATCTAATTTTAACACATTCACCTAGTCAATTATTTATATTACTTTGATAATCAAACTATTTTGTAAACAACACCACTTCATCAAGGTTTCCTTTTGGGGTATTAAATCTATATTTGGGGACAGCAGTCTCTCCTCTTGGCTCTGGGCTTTTTTCACGATACTTCCCCCCCCCCCCCAAATACACACACGCATAATAATCGTCTCCTTCGCTAATATGCTCGATCTAAGGCCATTAAAAAATAACAAAATAAAAAACTATATTTTTCATCACTTTCTGCCACTTTGTTCAAGTCATCATGGAAAACTAGCAGCTTTGTAAAAATTTGCTCTAACAAAAATTTGAAAGATGAAAGGCCGAAGATTGTCAAAAGTGACTCGACCCAGTTCTCGACAAACTGTGGAAAATGCCCCTTGGAAGGGCCTGATCCACTCGTGAGGTGTTTTTTTCTCTTTTTTCTGCTGTCCGAGGGTATGACTAAACCATAAAACGTGAATTACTACGACTAAGCAGTTATATGAATCTAAGTAGTCATATCAACCCTTGGGGTGTCAGTGTTTTTTGAGGGGAGGAGGAAGCCCGCTAGTAAAGGTACATTTACATCTGACTGTTTTGTATGGAAATATATGTTGAGTGTCATACAGAAAATTGCTTTGACTGTTTACATACTGATAGAAATATATATCATGGATATGTATATGACAGTTCTCAAAATGCAAAACTTGGAATAAATATATAACCTGTCTACATACAAAATAGATTTTTGTATACACTGGTGTACTATATACTTGTATCTCTTTCATTCTGTCCACAGTTGATTTTATGTTGACATGATGAAAGCACCGAATTTGCGTGTAATTATTCTAAAGATAAAAAGGAAGAAAAAACATTCTGTATGGGTTCGAGAGCGGGTTTTGAGACGTGGAAAAGTCGGTGCCTATATCAATTAACGTCTGAGCTCAGTATTGAGGATCCTGTTTAGTTTTCGAATTTTTGAAGAATGAAACCGGCTGAAAATTTTGAGAAGTTGCTTATAAACGGACCCCTTATATCAAAGCAAGATACCAAATTCAGAAAAGTTATTAGTGTGTCACAAATCATTTTCATAATTTATGACAATAAAGTTTGTGTAAATAATTTTAAAAAAATGGCTAACTCATTTTTAATCAATCTTAAAACTTAGCCTTTTAAAAAATAAAATATATTATTTTTAATCATTTCAGCGCACTAAGTATTTAAATATGCATTTTATTTTAAATATAATTTTAATAATTTCTGAGTAAATCTATTTTTTAGCATAATGATTTAATCTAAAAAAAGTATATTTTATAACAACTGTTTAATCCTCAGTATATCTTTGTTTTTTTAATTCTTAATATAAATAAAATAGTGAAATAATAATAAAAATAAAATACATTATAACAAATAAAATTACTCTCTCATAATAAGGACTGAATGAAGGTAGACCTATGCCACTGGTGCGGACACGTGAGTTAAGCCATTTTTTCCTGTCCTGTCTGGTTTACAAAATTTTGAATTTGTTAATAGTTTATTTCTCTTCAGAAATTTTGTTATTTAGAGATTATAAAAAAAATATAAAAAATTTCACTATAACTTGTTTTTAATAAAAGAAGATTTGTTTTATTTAAAAAAAAGGAATATAATAATTTATAGAAATTTTGAGGTTGTAAATAGTTTATTTCTCTTAGAAATTTTATTTTTTTCTGATAAAAGAGTATATATAAAAATTCAGTATATCTTTGTTTTGTTAATAAAAGAAGATTTGTTTTATTTGATTTTATTCGTTTGACAACAAAAAAAGTTGTAACAGTGTAACAGAACAACTTGCTGTAACTTTGTCATTTTTAAAATCTGGTAAGTAGGTAATTTTATTTGATTTTATGTAATTTTACATTTTTTTAAATATTAAACCACTCCTTTTTATCAATTATGTTTACGCGACACTTATTGCAATGTTAGAAAAGTAGATGAATGGACAACTTTTGTGACAAATAGAGAGAGGTTGAATATAAATCCGACATAAATTCTTCACTGTTTACATTAGCCACGATTTTGTCTGAGATAAATAACTGTCAGGTGTAAACGTACCTTACAGTGCTGAGTTTGTATATAACCTGTTGTGGCCACAAGAACCTCTAGGCTTTCTTTTGGCTTTTCTTTTCTTCCAGTAAAATAATTTTGAAAAATAATAATTTTGTCTAGTCAAAAAATTTTAAATCTACTTCCAAAAGGTCCTTTTTCCATGTTTTTGTATTTATTAATTTAATTGAGTATATTTACTAATTATACCTTTATTCATTATTATACATTTATTTCTTCATGCAATATTAAATCCCATTTCAACATAATTTCTTGCAGTTAGTTTTTTAAAAACAAATTCATGCATGTTGATCTGATCTACACTCGATCGGATCAACATGTTTTCACCAACTTGCAGACCAACAACTGCCACCAAATGCGAATGTAATAATTATTTGAGTGTGTTGCTGGTTAGCATTAATCGGCATAAGACAGGCCCCTATTCAAAAATCCCCCAGCATTCGCATGTCAAGTAAGATTATATAATTTTTGAATAAATGTAAATGTACTCAGTAAAAATAGAAATAAAAATGTGAGTAATATTTAAGTTGAAAATTAAAAAAAAAAAAAAAAAAAAAATAGAAATGTTTAGGTTTTACCTGGCATTTTTCTATTTTTCTTCAATTCACCTTGCATTTGAGAAGGCACTGCAAATATAACAAATACTTAATTAAAGCATTTAATTTGTTTTTCAATGAAAATTTAATTACCTTTGTTTCGTCTTTTCTTTATCAGAATTGAAGATGCTGCAAGTCTCAAAATTTTATTATTCACCTTGTTTTTGTTCAGAGGTCGGGTTTTATCAATCTTGTATTTAGCCGATGGTTCCACTTTCGTTTTCTCTGCAGTCTTACTGGCATTACTACTCACATTATTTGACATTAAATTTTGTTTTTCAATCTTCAACTGATTGTCAATGTATTTACTGTCAAATAATTTGGTTTCGACAACTTCATCAATCACATCTTGACATGTCGTTCCTAGACTTTCTTCCGTTTTGTCTGTAAACAAAGTAACATTTGTTGAAGGTAGTTATTATCTTCGGTGAGGTTAGCCAAATTTAAAATATTACAGTTTTTAATCGTTGACAATGTTTATTGTTACAGTGTAAAAAAAAAGAATAGAAAATTCAATATAATAACATTAGAGAAAAAGGTTGTCAAGTATGTTCCTTTTTTCCTGATTTGGTTTACAAACAAATGTATTTATTCTCTATTCAATACAGATTAATTAGATTCCACTTTCATCCCTAAAAAGATTTACTTCTTAGAATTAAAAATAAAATAAATTAAGCTGTCAATAATCTCTTTGTAAACAATTGTGTAAGCTGACAGGCACTAGAAAATTTATGATTGTGTAACCAGTCCCCGCCTTAGCATAAGTAAGAAATAGCTACTAAAAGAAATTAAAAATAAATAAAAATAAAAATAAATGTAGCAAGTTCAAACATTTGTTAGAAATAAGGGTCACACATCCAGTAAGGAGCAATGAGACGTTTCCCAAACCTGGAAATCATAGACAATTAGTCTGTCGACTAAGTAACCCAAGTTGAAGAGTTTCTGATAGTGTTCTTCCAGTTGTGGGACACTATAAATTTAGGGCCACGTCAGCCGGAAAGATATTGACTTAGACTGGAAGGCTACGTAACAGAAACTCCTAATAATTGCAAACTTTGCAGAAGGAAGTTGGCCATCTGGCCTAGTAGTTTTTGCTTTTCCTTTCCTCACCTACTCTACAGTATAAAAATGGGATGATTTGGAAAGTCAGTCAAGACAAAGAATCAAGTCAAGATGCCACACTTCGTCTGGTACCAGCAAGGATTGGCCATAGCGACAAGTCGAATAGTAACTGTCAAGGTAACTGCAGGAAGAAGATCAAGAAAGAGGCTGAATGATGTGAAAGTTGGTATTAGCGAGCATCGTTTGGAGTAAGTACCCTTGTGAATAGGCTCATCCCAGAATCAATGTTGTGGCTGACTTGCCTTGACTTTAAAAGTCGTTAAAAAGCTACGTTCCTCTACTTTCAAATGGTATGTTTGAAAATGAAATCTTTTTCGCTGTTTTTGAATTATAGCCGTTTTAATCAGATCTTGCAATAATGACTTCTTAATAATTGTAAACATTTTAGTGATCAAAAAATCGATAAATTTAAATTCAAACAAAAATTTATATTTAGGTCACTAGAGGTGCTAAAACAAAATTTCATATTAGTTTCACAAAGAAGAAAAAAAAAGAAAAAGAAAAAAAAAGACCTAGTTTCCTTTGAATTTACTTACGTATATTTACTTTTGTAATCTCCATAAAAAATGGTCTAAAATCTTATGTTCACCTAATTGATTTGAGCAAATAAAAATATTAAAAAAAAAAAAATATATGAAACCAGGGCCAATATTTTTGGGCGTAGAATTACAACAAAAAAACTAGTTTACTTGACAAATATTTTGATTTTAGAATTTTTGTTATTGATAAACTTTGATAGCTTTTGCAGATTTTTTTTTTTTTTTGTAATCTCCATAAAAAATGCTGTAAAATGATATATTCACATTATTGAGTTGAGAAAATAAAAATATTAACAAATGAAAAATATGCTCTAAAAAAATGCTTTTTTGACAAAACCAAGGCCTATTCATAAGAAGTCACATGTCCAATATTTTAGTGTAGAATCACAAAAAAATTGATAAATAGCTTTTACCCTTTTTTTAAAATCTCCATAAAAAATGCTGTAAAGTGATATATTCACTAGCTGATTTGAGTAAATAAAAATATTAAACTGTAAATCAACTTAAATTCTTTTTGGCGAAACCAGGGCCTATTCATAAGAAGTCACCTGTCTGATATTTTAGAGTGCAGAATCACCAAAAAATTTTGTTCTAAATCCATGACACACCAACCTGGTCTCACTCATCCCCTTGTAAGACGGGCCAGTGTAATAAAAATCTTCATAAATGGAACCCTATCTATCCCTTCACAAAAAGAGTTAAGTACATTTAAAGTTATCTTATCTGTTAGCATTAGTGCCCACTTACAACTATAAAATGACTTGTGAAAAAAATAAAATAATTTGTACAAAAAAGCTTAATTAAAATTAATGTAATTTGAAACCGATGCATTCTAATTGTTTATTAAAGCAACATACAATTATTTGATAGCGATTCAAATTGTTCTTTGTCGAAATATAATAGATGATGAACTAATAAATGTTATACTCCTTACCTACTGCCAAGGACTGCACATTTTCAACACCCAAAGGATCCTCCAGATCAACTCCCAGGGGATCGTAGTCTAGCATATGGAAATCATTTTGGTTAGATGGAACGACTGGCGTACTGGCGTTCAACGTCTGAACGGGATCTTTTCTTATTATGAGCGACGGAACCGAGTCCTCTTTAAGCAGTTTATATTCTTTGTCTAAGAACATATTGTCGGCAAAGTGAAGTGCACAAATTAATGTGTACTTTTTTGCAAACTCGATTTTTGCTGGATCTGCCCACTCTGGTTTGCCGCACTGTTTGGCCCAGTTGGTCGCCCTTCAACACATGCAAAAATTGTTCATTTCGACCAATAAACAGTTTATTTTATGGCTTACTTAGTGTTATTGTTGGGAAGTCTAAAAAAAGATAAAGTTGTGTCCTGCGTTGAATCACTGGAGCAATGAGGTACTGAACAAGATTTCCCAGATGAGTCTGATATAGCCTACAAAAATATCTTATTTATGGAAGTTTTCAATATAGGAACGTAGTCGATCAGAAATGATAATTACTTCTATCACACCACTTTCATTATTTGACTTTTCAATGTTTTTATCCGGCTTATTTTTACTACCTTTTTTTAGAAAGTGTGCAAAATCATTTCGTTTCAAACCTAAAATAAATACAATTAATTTTTATTATTTAGTTACATCAAAAAACTAACAAAGCAAATACAGAAACAACTCTATTAATGTACCCCATAATTAAAATATATTTTATCAAACAAAAACAACTAGAATTATTTCAAAAAAATATTGATAGAATAAAAATAACGAGAAAAAAAATCCTAGTTGTTTTTAAATTCACTAATTTCGTGGTCCGCGTGACCAATTAAAATATTACAATTAATTAAGGTTTTTAGTTGAGATAAAAAAAGTCAATGGCACGAGCGGGATTCGAACCCACAATCTTCGGCTTGATACGCCGCTGCTCTACCACTTGATCTATCGTGCCTCGATCCACTCGGACACCAACTTCCCACCTCGTGCCATTGACTTTTTTATCTCAACTAACAACCTTAATTAATTGTAATATTTTAATTGGTCACGCGGACCACAAAATTAGTGAATTTAAAAACAACTAGGATTTTTTTTCTCGTTATTTTTATTCTATCAATATTTTTTGGATTATTTTAAAATGGGATTTTGGCACTGGTTAATAATTATAATACTGTAAAGAGCCGGCAACGGCTTCAGGAACAGTAGAAAGAAAGAAGGCCAAGATGGTTAATAATTATAAAATGGACACAGAAACATAGTTTTTTTAAGTATTGTGAGCGCTGTATATTCTCCCTAAAATAACTTAAATGCAAATATATTTATAAAAATTACCTTTCCTACAAGCAATTTCTATTGGTACACCCAAATGAACCAAATTGCCCCTTCTTTGAACTGTACTTCGTGGGACTTTGAACCATTTTTCAACAACGTTGAGATATCCACCATTAACCATATGCTCTATCGCCTTGTACAAAGACTCCTCAGACCACATTTGAGCTGAAAGAAACAATATATGTTGTAAATATGTATACTGACTTTAGCTACCTAAAATACAATGGACATATGTCTAATATATATAATTAAATTAGAGCAATTTAAGCAACAAGCAATTTAATGCAAATAGCATCAAAAGAATTTTTTTAGCGTCTGTATTTAATAGATAGAACAACTCGAGCTACAAGTGGTCGAACATGTTTCATAATCATGAAGTTCCAGAAGAACTCAAGATACCTTGAGCTCTGCGGTCAAAGAGCCATTCTGTATGATCATCAGTTTGGTATTGTCATGGACGCTGATTCTACCCCATACAATAACTGGTCCTGAAAAGATCATGCATGGCACATGAAGCAAGGCATTCTTCTGTCTTCACGCATGGTCCCATCATATGACTGCCTCAAACCAAACCTGACGTCTGCTTAGAAAACAGCCCTTGTTCAACTGTCCAATGTTAATTTGCAAAAAGTCTTCCTTTTTACTCAATGCCTCTCCAGTAGCTGAGTACCCGATGTCAGTCATCTAGAGACTAGGCTATTCCTACGACTTTCTCATGACTGTTTTAGAGTCCATTTGTAATTGACTACTATTGATCTTTCCAATAAGTACAATAAAACAATCATCTGTAGTCATACATCGTAGTCAATCACAACCCTCTCTTTGACTGAGATTTCCGATGGCTCCAAAACTGCTATAGATCATGGATGGTAGAGTGCGGCAGGCCCAGGACTTGGGCAATGTAACAGACACTCAGATGCTACATTGATTTAAAATGCTTTGTTGCAATAAAAATAAATAATAAATAATTTAAAACAAATAACATTCGACTAGTTGGATACAAAGGATGAAAATTAACTAATTTTCTTTATTTTTCATCTTCAGAGTTTACAAGGATTAAGTAACTCCATAAAAAAATGATGTGGTGGTATATCACTCCTGTTCTCCAAACCTTTTCAAACAAAACCTTGACTCATCCGAATTAGTCCATTCTTGCTGAGACCAATTGATGTGATTTATTGCGAAACTTAAGTGAGCTACTCAATGCCTTGTCAGAAGTTCTGGACCAGTGGCAGGCCTTCTATCATGTAAGCCAGTGCTCAAAAGTCTTCGCCTTACGGAGTGTAAACTGACATTAACATATCTAACTTGTTGAAGTCATTATTTAGTCTCAGCAACGGAAGAATGTTGAATATGGAGTACATTTGAAACAATAAAACCACCATCTTTCTGAGGTATCACGACGGTGACCTGATCCTTCTTGAGTTACCTACGGTATTTTGGTAGCGATGGAAGACCCTGGGACAGTTGATACGCTTGACTTTTTTAATCTTCCAAAAATGCTATGATTCTAGCCGAATCACTTAACACTATCACCCCAAACAAACTTGAAACTTAAAAATGGTACAAGTTAAAAAAATCAATTTGTAAACACAAGTGGGAGATTTTATCTGTTTTATTTAACTCTATTCCTTTAAAATGGACGTAATATTGTTGTAAGATAATCACTCGAGAATTGTCTAAAGATGGCTCCAGACATGCGGTATTCACCGAATGTCGATTGCTGCCGAACATTTGCGAAGTCTCAAGATGCTCGTCTTGACATTCGCCAAGACAATGAACACATACGGGGTTTGTATGAGCCAGTTTGTGAGGAAGAAGCGAATATTAGCCAAATGCTGAGCTCAACTTACTATCAATCGTGATGGACAACAGTGAAACTTACTGTTTCGTGTAGTGGCTACAAACTCAGTCACAGCGTACTGTTACCCCATCTTTTTTCGATACGTTTCCACGCATCAAAAATCTCGTTCCCATTTTTGTGATTCAGAAGAGAACCATTCCAAATATTGGTTCAGCTTGGTACAGATCGAAGAACTCCAAGACTGTCAAGTTGGGCCAACAGAAACCCCCATCCCTAAACACCCTCTCACTAGTGGGATTGCATTGCTCAGCATTTGGCGAATCCCACATGTCTGAAGTCACCTTAAGAGATAATTAAAAATATTAAGTGACCACTTTTTTTTTTCCTGTCAATATATACAACGTTACGATTTATGTATGTCAAGGGAGTTTCGTAAATCACCGGACATAATAATGAAAATTGTTATTGAAAAAATAATATCAATTACTTGGTTTGTTCTATTTCCGACTCGACAAGGGAATCCGGTAAAATGGAAACCATCACTATTTAAAAAGATTTTAAAAATAAAAAATAAAAACTGTTTACATCTACTTACGCATTATTATTGACTTATATGGTTTTGTATTTAGATCCAAGAAGTCTCGAAATAAATTTAAAAAATCACAAGAGTAAGCAGCATTGATTCAAGAACAGCACCGAATAGAAAAATAACGTTACAAAATAAAATACAACGCAAAGTCTGGAATGGGTTGACGGTCCATAGCAATTCACAAACGAGAAATAACCTCGAGATCAAAACATTGCGGCGCGAGAGACCGTTCAGCATTTGTACGATTAGCTACAGCGTCGTCACAGATTTCGTTGACACTTCGAAATCTCTGTTCAAAAATAAATAACTCAACTCTGACACAGTGCTAAACCGAAAAATGTATTTGTATCAAAAGTTACAATAACCCGTTGATTGTTGCGACACGACGACGATTTGGCGCCGTGCAACAAGCAACAATTGGCGCCATAGTTCACGAATGTACGGCAAGCAACGAAAACCTTATTCTTCACTTTTGGTAGGTGGCTGAGTATTGTACTAAACAAATAAATCAAAAACTTATGGAGAACTCTATTAACAATTTTGTAAAAAAATTATGAACTATGATATAATAGAGTAATAGACCTCTTAAATAACTGATGGGCCAAATTAACACACCATACTTAAATTTTTATATTAGGTTTTAGTATTGAGTGAAGAACAAAAAACAAAAATTAAAAAAAAACTTGTTTGTCCTTTTTAATATTGTACAAATCGGCTTTGCATTCCTCGGAAAAGGTTTCTGATAAAATCCTGAAGAATTCTTTCACATTCATAACCGACAGCCTATTCCAGCTCTTCTAAGGTGGGACCTGGGATTCACCGTTGTACTTGTACTTTAAGTTGGTCCCAAATATATTCAACTGGGTTCCAATCTGAACTTCAAGCTGGCCTCACCAAACACCCAGTTTCAACTTCATTAAGGTAGTTAACAATAATAGTCAATATTCTATAGGGCCTGGCATTAGGAAGAATCTCTCACCGATGTGGGGGAGGGCAAATGGTAATACATGTTCTTCAGTTATGTCTTGTAAGTTGTAAGTACCTCTGTGAAGTTAGAGATCTTCCTTGCACCACTGATTCAGTGCGGGCGTTCAAGGAAATGCCACCCCAGAACATCAATGACCCACTGTCGAATGCCACCTGAGGAACCATACATCTTGGGGTAGACCTTTCTCCTGAGCTATATGAAAATGACCATCTGAAGTTTGTGGCCAACCCTCACCTCATCTGTAAATAGAACATCCCCAATCTTCCAACATCCAATTCACATGTTTCCATGCGATTTTTCTGAGCTTTGGTAAGAAGAGGTCCACAGAAGCTGAATCGTGAGGTAATTTTCATTGAGCTTCTTCTTACAGTTCTGGAGGAAACATTTCGGACTTGACATCAGATTTCTTATCCCATTTCTTGAAATGCTGCTCGTAGATAGTGATGTTGGATGGATCTATTGTTTCTTCCATCTATAGACCTAGGTCGACCCTGCCCTGGCTTTCTAGTGTGAAGCCCTGTTTCTTTGAAGCACCAAAGAACTCTTCCTGTCTCCTGGCGACTTCACGCTGGCTGAATCCTTCCTCTAATAATGTTACGACCCTGACACTGCTACACTCACTCAAATGCCTGACTGGAGCCATTGCAAAAGGTTTAAGAACAAGAATAATTTTCAAATGTAATCAATGAAAGGAAAAAAATTAACTGAAAGCAATCCGTAGCTGTAGCAGAATGGAAGAGCATAATGCTACTTTGGGCAAATGGGATTAATCAGTGCAAAAGTAAATAATGAAAGTAAACAAAACATTATTTAACGTTTATTTAGACTACGATAACTCCTAATTACCTTTAACTAAGGTAGAAAGATAATGGATTTAATTTTAAACTAAATAAATTGATTGGTCATTTAAATCTTGGCGCAGAGGGACAACCAACCCCTCCTGGCGGACGGAAAAGGGAATGAGGAGCGGGGATTCTTTTCTGGAGGCCTCTTCCTTTTGAACTTCTGGACGAGAAGGAACGAGTTTTTTTATGAAAGGTCAGAAACATTTATTTAAAAATTCTATTTAAAAGTTTTTATATAAGTTTTTGTTTTAAAGTTTTTATATGACTTTTTAAAAAATTAGAATAGCTTATTGTTTTTCTGCCGTATCTTTTTCAGTTAACTTTTTTAAAATTTGGTTTCATACATATTCTTCGCTAATATCCTGTTAGGAACAAAGACTGCGTTGATAGAAACACTGACTACATATTCAGGTCCATGAACATATTCAATTCTACACTATTTGCCTACTATCTAATTACTGAAAATTTAATGATAAATTTTATGAAATGAAAGGGTTACCGAGGGGCTTCGATGGCCGCAATATGGCCGTTAAGATATTGACATAGTGCTCACCACTGTTCTTCTTTTCAAATCTAATAATAAATTAATTAAATATGCCCTTTTTTTTGGAAACGCTATGTAGACGATATTTTATATATATGGTCGAAAACACTAAATAATATAAAACAATTCCTCCAATTAATTAATTATTTACACCCTAGCATAAATTTTACATTGGAGATAAAAAAAGACGGTTGTTTAAACTTTGTAGACTTAAAACTATACATAATAAATATCCTAATTGAAATAGGTTTTATATTTAGTGGCCTAATTGACCAAATTACTTCTTTTAATTAATTATTATTTTTATATAAGGTCTTGGTTGAGATGATAAAAGTTAGTGTCACAGGCACGATTCGAACCCACAACCTTTGGTTCCATCCATATTGCTCTAACCACTTGAGCTATTGTGACTTCGTAGCTTTGAATCCCGCTCGTGACACTAACTTTTTCATCTCAACCAAGATCTTAAATAAAAATAATAATTAATTGAAATAATTAGTATGGTCAATTATGACTACTAAACATTAACGAATTATTATTAATGGAACCAGCTCATAGCATCGAATGCTTCAGAATGTTTTTTTTCTCACTACCTATTAAAGAGAAAAAAAACGACTAAAAATAATGAATATTAAGCTATATTTATTGATAGTAAAATGAATTAAAAAAAAAAAAAACTTTAAAAGAAGCAACAATCAGTCTCAGCTACACCACCAAAAATGAAATATTAGGTTTTCATTGCTTGGTGAACTATCAGAAAACGTAAGTAAAATTCTTAAAAGAGAATGTTTTATGGTAGCTGTTAGAAGTAATATACCGTCCAAAAATTGGTTGGGGTAGAAATCACAATGTTTGCAGATAACAGGGATAGGATAGGGGATAGGGATAAAAGAGGCGGCCACAAGGCCTACTGCACCTCGACCTGAATAGATCTATTGTCTCCCCTGTTATTTATAACTCATTGGCCAGCTTCTAGTTATTAATCAGCCTCTATAACTTTGTCAGCAGCTCCTTAGTGTAGGATCTTACTTGTGGTTTTTCTTGTCCTAGTTGCAAGAACCTGCACAGACCTTCACAGAATCATAAAATGTCTTCTGCCGTCTCCTCCTCTTCCTGGCAGTGTTTCTTCTGTTTGTACTCATAACTAGTGCATGTGCTTTCTTAAGTGGTAGTGCCCTGTTAGGAGTCCAACCAGAATCCTGGTTTGGTTGCGGTTACCTTCCAGTAATTCTTTGTGGATGGTCCTTCTATGAATCTCTTTGCATGCCTCTTATCTGTGGTATTATTCCACCAGGTTTTGGACTCATTAAGGATCCATTTTAAGATGTATCCTCTTTTGTGGCAGGATGCTAAGCCACAGTAGGGTTCAGGACCCAGAGAGTCCATGTTGGCCCCCTTTTTGGTTAACACATCAACCTTTTTGCTGCCTCTATACCCCGTGTGTCCAGGGACCCATGACAGGATCAGGTCTTTGTGTTTTGTAGTTAATTCACTTCTTCCACAATTCCTCCAAAGTGTATATCAACATAGAAAAACGGAGAATCAGCTTAAATATACACATACATATAGATTTCACAAATATAAAATTGGACTATACCTGTCTCTTATAATGGATGGAGCCATTATATCATACTGATAGCTAAATATTTGAAGACCCCTAGTTGCTATGCTGTGATGGAAATAGTACAAAGAAAAAAAGCACATAAATAGATTTAAGGTATAATAATTGTTTAATGAGACATGGCTCAAACATTAATGTACAAACAAGTACTATGTGGACGTATGTTATTATTAAGCTATGGGGTTTTACCGACATAGTAATACCAAAATTAAAGAAATACTACAAAATAAATTCTATATAAAATAATGGAGCTTGTCCTACGTTTTGAATTCCCTTCCGATAAGTAGGATTTTCCAGTATTTGTTGTGTTCTTTTAGAAACACAAGATTCCAGTCTTTTCAATAAGGCTATAATTTATGTTACAAAATGGATTTAGAACTGCTCCAAGATTCTCTTTTTTAGCTGGTATGTCTGCTGCCTGAAGTTCCGTCATGATTTGAGACACACTTTAATGCAAGGCTATTTTTAGGTCAAATTTCTTTATGGTATTAAGGTAGTCCCAAACAAGTTTTGAGATGAAGTCTCAAAACTCTCATGGTCTCGTAGGCTTGGAGCGCTTTATGCAAATACAATGCATAATGTGTTTAAAATGATTGGGTTGACTGAATTGATGCTAAATTAAAAATTATTATTTGGAGATCATGAGATGCGGTCTGGTGTGATGTAAGTTTAGAAAAACATTTTTTTTATCGTGCCAACGTTTTGATTTTTATTGAGATCATCTTCAGGGTCTGGGATTTATAAGCATTGTTTAAATTATACAAATACAAGTAGGATGTGAAAAAATGAATTTATACAATGCCAGAAATTTTATACTCAAAAGTATTTGTACACACTTAAAGTGTTTGTTTTCTGTATATGTACACTTTGATTGAATCTAAAATTGTCTTACTATTATATCCCCCCAGTTTGTGCAGGAAAAGTGAAAATTTGCCCACTTTGGAGCGAACATGGCAATCAACAATAGCCGAGCATTGACTATTGTTGCTTGGCAAGTAACCGAGTGCCCAACTCCACTAGACGGGATTCGGCTAACCCTTTGTTTGGCATTCAACGAATCCCGGAAATCTGGAGTCACTTTTATATTAAAAATAAATATGATTTATACTGAAATACATATTAAAATTGTTTTCCAAGCTTAGTATTGTCACTTTTTCAATTAATTATTGTTGAACTGGCACTGGGTTACCTACTGAGTCCATCTACTCTTGCAGTTTTTGATGTGACTCAAATGCATTTCAGCTTTGTGCCATCTTCAGTGGGAAACTGTCTAGACAGATCCAGTAGGTGACCTGGTGCAGTTCAACATTTGTTCACGAACTCACTGATCAACACCAACCAACTTTAATTATTTATTTCATATTCAGCTTGATCTTTCCGACTCTCCTGGTATCTTATTACTACAGCCTCTCTCAGTCAAATGAGTTCGGTGTTTCACCAACTTCGGTTGTCCGTCTAGAGATAAATGTGTCAACCACTTGTAGACCCAATAACCAAGCTTCGCAATGATGTATCTATTCCCATTCAATAGTTCTAATAAAGAAATAATTTGTACCTCGGTCATTTTAGTCTGCCTAGTTTCGCTGTTACCGGCAGTTCAGTACGTTATCTTTCTCATCTTCTTTTAGCAAAATTGTGTACTTTTATTTAAAAAAAATTCATTACATTCAAATTTAGAATTGTGTCAATCTTGAGTTTAGTTTAGTAAATATTATGTGCTATATTTCTTCTCTTGGTTGTATTGTTACATCTTAATCAAAATATAGGTATATGCTTAATGTAAAAAAAGTAACTTTCACTTGTCAAATAAGAATGAAGTAACAATTTTTTCATGATGTAAATTAATTGAGGAGTTGTAATCTAGAACAGAATGGTTAAAGACCTGGGGTCCACTCTTCAAAACAAAACAATTTATTACAGCTGAAAACATAATTTTGAGTATCATAAGTAGATGTTTTTATTTGTAAAACATTTAAATCATTAGTAATATAAGAATGGATGTGTGGTACTAAAAGACAATAAAATTTTTATTCAAGATCGATTTCAGGGGCTTCACATCCCCTTATCTGTCTTTTGTTTTAAAAATATAAATCGATGTCGAATAAAATTGTACAAGCAGACAGGTCATTTAGTTCCACACATCCATACTTATATTATGAAATACCACCCCGAAAAAGAAGACTTATTTCATTAATAATAGTGTCAAAGCCCTCATGATGGGTATATATTCATCAAAAGCATGACGAAAGAATTTTTTTTTCTTGCTTTCAAATTTGATTTATCCCTGAGTTTTTAAAAATATATAACTATAATATTAAGTTAATACATATATATTTAACAGTCATAATTGAGCTATTTAATGATTTCAATTAATTATACTTTTTATCTCAACCAAGACTTTAGATAAAAAAGTATAATTAATTGATATAATATTAAGGTTGATAATGTCAATAACAACAAGAAAAATTAATTTGTTCTAACTCTTTGGAAAAAGTATAAACTTTCATTTTAATTTTATATAAATATATACATATACATATGTACATACAATTATTTAAGAGTTTTTGTTTCTTTCAAATGATTCCCAATTAGGCCATTTTCTGATTTCTTCCATGAGCATTTCACCAGGCGAGAGGGTGTGTTGCAGTTGTTTTTGTCCATAAACTTTGTAGAATTGAGCAATTTTTCCTGCGGCATGTCCGGCTTCGATAAGATCACGGCCTGCATTGACTTGTTTTTTCGGCGGTTTTATATTTACAAAATTGCCTATGAATGCAATGCCTATGGACCGGTTATTATAAAATCGCGTGTGGGCTCCTTCAAGGCCCCATCCTCTGCCAATGTAAACATTACCATCTCCTCCAACAAGGAAGTTGTAGCCTATGTCATCAAAATCCCTTGATAAATGATCTGCTTGTATCGATCTGACCTCTTCAGAGCATGAATGAAACGTGGTACATGGATTACCAGCAGTATGGCCTATAATAACCATAGCAGGTGGGTTTATCGCCAACACCTGGGGTGGTCCGTTTGCTTTGATTGCACCCCACTGTTGTCTAGTAACCAATCGAAATGTTGCATTGGAATTGATATGTTCATCATCTGCAAATGAAGAAATTATTAAAATATTTTATGTTTTTGTAACACATAATAGTAAAATGCATATGTCCAGGCACAAGTTCGGTTAGTAAATCTGTTTTATAAACTGAAATTAGGGGGATGAAATATTCATTCTTTTCTATATAAACGCAATGATATAAATACATGTGTATATATATGATACATACAGAATGATGAATGGATGAGGAATAAAGAAAACCACCAATAAGAGTTTAAAAAAAAGATCAATATTGTTCATGAATAATACACTGCTCCATAAAAAATGTGGTACACTTTGATATTTTGATTTATTTTTTAATTTAACAATGTTTTGCCATATTGTTTGTTTTACTACTTGAAAAATGATTTAATAATTTTTATTAGTAGAGAAATATTAGTTGTCACCAATTGTAAGGTAAAAACACTTAATTCCAAATTTGATTTAAAGTTCATCAAGGTCATTTAATCTTTTAAAAATCATGAACTCTTTGGATCAAGATATGGTCTTGAAGAAAGAAGCAAATTCGGTTGTTACTGCCAAGCTTTCACTTATTTTAAGTTCATCATCATGGCAAAACCATCTTAAATATATCTACAGATTATTAAGTTTTTTACAGGCAATCTCAAATTTCCTTAAAGACCTACTCAGTCCTAAAATTGCCAAGGACTGTAACACCAGTCCTTTAAAAATGGTTTTATTCTCTGTTACATTGATGGCATGAGAACAAAACGATTATGAAAATATCCATAATCAGCATTACGTGGTGCTGTTTTAGGCTTGTCTAAAATGACGCTCATTGAGCATTCGTGATATCGCAAGAGTGCATGGTGTATTCAGAGACCCGGAATGGGATGTCAAAGAGCGAAGGGACCAACTGATGAATTTTCATTAACCAAATCTCTTAATAAATCCCTCAATTATAAAAAAAAGATGATAATAAAAAATACAAAACTTTCAAAGTGCACAATTTTTTGTTTTTTTAAAGCAGTGTAGTAATAGTTCATTCACTTGCAGACCATTTAAACCTAATCGATTAGTTTTGTTTACAATATTACCTTATTATGATTGTAGATTTTATAAGTTTTCGCCAGTGCATTGATTTCGAGTCCTTTCTTGATTAACAGGGCAAAACTTGATGCCATCTTAACAGTAACACGATTTTGGTTGAGCAACACACCAACGAGTAATGAACAGTCTTGCTTTAATTTGTCTTTAGGATCACCTATTTTATAAGAGTAATTATACCATCCAGTCCCTTCATAAATCCTTCCATCTCCTCCAATTACAAAATTGACTTTGATGTCAGTAAGGTTTTTGCTGAACCCATCAGCTTGATAAGCTCTTACTTGCGACTGGCAACCCCTTTCTGAGGAGCAATCTAGAAAAGCGCTCATAACAACACCCATCGAATCATGAGGCATGTGAGTATGTTGGGGCAGATTATTGTTCACTTTAGCATACCAGTAACCTCTGCCAATGAAGATGTCCCAAAAGTTTTTATTTGGTATATCATCCGTATCTGTAATGTTATCAATTAGAGCAAAAGTTTATATTTAATTAATTATGTAATGAAAATATATAATACAAATCTAGTAATTTTTACTGGGTAGTCTGCAAGTAAATGAAATATTTAACTTAATTAACTACAAATATGTTCTTTTATGCTAATTTGCCATCTGTGATTTTATTTCAATGAATTCCTCAATAGTTAACTGTATAGGTAGCTGCAATGGCTATCAGTATAGATGTCAGAGGGGAAGTCAAAATTAAATTTCAAAATATCTTCACAATCATTTAAATATTGATTCTATCCTTATTAAAGCTATTTCATTAAACTTAAGTATAGCGTTGAATTTTCAAGAATCATACAATAGAATAATTACTTGTGTTGATATTATCGTAGGCATGAGAATACCAAATAACAGCACCAAAAATCAATCCTGTGATCATAGCCACTGTGAAAACAGTAATGATAGTATATTTGAGAATTGTATATTTGAGTAACTTGATCAATTTCTCATTTTCCTTCAGCGGTTCTGAAAAAATTAGACATTTATTTTATATTATCCAAACACACTGGTGATATATGTTATGAAATGTTTACCGGTGTTACATCACCTCCTTAAGATATTCTCAAATTTTACTTTCTCCCTGTTAAATTTCTTCAATATATTTTTAACNATATATAATACACTGATAGACAAAATAAATGCACCACCCTTAGATTTTAATGTATTTATGTTTAAAAATAGGTTTGGGTGTAAAAATAAGACAATTAAAAAGAAAATGTTTATAACCTAATTTTGAACTAACAATTATTGAGTAAAGAACAAAAAAAAAAAAACCAGAAAATTCAAAAACAAATAAAAATGTATAACCAACCTTTTGTGTCCCCTTTAACACTGAATATTTTCACCTCTGAATCGTGTCCATTAAACGCCTTTGCATTCCTTAGAAAATATTTCTAATAAAATCCTGAGGAATTCTTTCCTATTTATCAAGAACAGCTGTTTCAACTCTTCTATTTGCAATCGTACTTGTCTCTTAAGTTTGTCCCAAATGTGTTCAGCTGGGTTCAAATCTGGACTTCAAGCTGGCCTCACCAAGCACCCAATTCAACCTCATTCAGGTAGCATCCACAATACGTGCTTTAGGGGCCCTGGTGTTATCCTGCATTACCAAGAATCTATCATTGATGTGGGGGGGGGGGGTAAATGGCACTACATGTTTTTACATTATGTCTTGTAAGTACCTCTTTGAAGACAAGAGTTCTTCCTTGCACAAGAACTGTCAGTTAAAAAAAGTTCGAGCATTCAAGGAAATGGCACTCCAGAACATCACTGACCCACTGTGGAATGCCACCCGAGGAACCATACACTCTCTTGTGCATCTTCCTCCATATGAGATTATGCCCATCTGAAGATTTGAGGCCAACTCACCTCATCTGTAAAGAGTACGCGTCTCCAATCTTCCAGTGCCCAATTCACATTACCCTGACATTGTTATATTCACTCAAATGCCTGGCTGGAGCCACTGAAAAATGTTTAAGAATAATTATTCACAAATCATAAGATGCGGTCTGGTGTGATGTAGGTTTCAGAAAAACATTTTCTTTATCGTGCCAACGTTTCGATCTTTATTGAGATCATCTTCAGGGCNCATGTAATTGCATCAAATTGTAAATGAATTATTTTTAATTGTATATCAACAGGAACGTCATCAACTTGTGTGATAATGTATGGTGATTAGTGACCGTTTGTCAATGATTATTCAGAAATCGTGAGATGCGGTCTGGTGTGATGTAGGTTTCAGAAAAACATTTTCTTTATCGTGCCAACGTTTCGATCTTTATTGAGATCATCTTCAGGGCCTGGGATTTACAATCATTGTTTAAATTTAACAAACCATCCCTAAATTTAACAAAAACATGTAGGATGTGGAAAAAAGGTGAATTTATACAATTAAAAAAATATTTTGGTCGTGTTGAGAGTGCCAGTGAGATACTCTCAACACGACACGCAAGAATGGCACCCTTACGCAGAAAACAAACACTTTGAGTGAGTAGAAATACTTTGATTGAATAAAAAAAAATTTTTTTTGAATTGTATATAAATTCACCTTTTTCCACAACCTACATGTATTTGTTAAATTTAAACAATGTTTGTAAATCCCAGACCGTGAAGATGATCTCAATAAAGACTGAAATGTTGCCACGATAAAGAAAATGTTTTTCTGAAACCTACATCACACCAGACCGCATCTCATGATTTCTGAATAATCATCGACTAACAGTCACTAATCACCACACATTTCTACACGAGAAGAAGGTTTAAGTATAATAACAAATGAAATCAACAAAGGAAAATTGTTAACTGAATGCAATCTTTAGGCATAGGAGAATGGAAGGGCACAATGCTACTTTTTGTACAAATGGGATTAATCTGTACAAAAATAAACAGAGAAGTAATCAAAGCATTATTAACTTCTTATTTTATTTACAATAGCAATGAAAACTAAATAAATTGAGTGGTGTGTTAAATTTGGTCTTCAGTGTATTAATATTATAATTATTATTAATTTAAAGGAGCACATAGACAATTTTTAATTTTTCAAAATCCTCACGGACTAAACATCTATAACCCCCATTTTCCTACAAAATTGTAATGGATGCTACAGAGTTAATTATTATACCAAATGTAAAGAACCAAGAGATTCATGAAAATTACTACATTTATTTATTATTACTATTACAATTAGGTGATGAGGGCCTTTTGATAAGCAGATCCAGCCCACCGACTACCACTTTCTTTTATTCACGTTTTGTAATGCGTTTTTAGTCAGAGGGGCGGATCATGGTGGTTATATCAGTAGGTTGGAACAACCTGGTCTTAGCCGTATTTCCATGATTCTTCCGACTTTTTTGGCTGTATCTTGTTCATTAGAATTCTACTATTTCAACAATTTCTTACCAACTTTTACTCTAGAGTTAAAAGTATAATAAATATACTTAAAATTTGTATAAGGGTACCTCTTAAATTCTATTTTCTAAAGAAGGAATCAAAATAATTTGGAGTTTTGCCAGTGACATTTAATGGCAAATTTTAAATTCTAGTTGCTATCACAAATTGCCATATTTGTAGTTATAAATGAAATAAACTAAAAACAACATTTTTATTGTTCCTGGAAAGACTGTTAACTTTTAAAAACTTTCAAAAGATTAAATAGTTATAAATTTATGTATGTAAATAAGTAATATATTGAATTTTTTAATAATAATAAAAGAAAACCCGTGGAAATGTTTTTCAACATAAACAAAATAAATTCAAATAAGACAAGTCAGTCTTAAACATTTTATCTCATTAAAAGATAGTTCTTACTCACAGTTTTTTTTTAATAATCAAGTTTTTAAGCATTAAATTCTCAACATCAGGTTGAAGGAGTTACAAACACATCTCTCGATATGAATTATAAGAGATACATCTCAGATTAGCTCTTCATGTCGAAAGAGATGTTTGTACCTCCTTCAACCTGATGATTTAATGCTTGAAAACAAAAAATTGCGAGTAAGAACTATCTTTTAAAGAGATTAAACAACATACCCAAACCACATTTATTATTTCTATTAAAATGAATGATAAAATGCAGCTTTTGATCATATTACGTAGCAAGTGGTTCATAATCTAATATTTGTTTGCACATTATCTGGCAATTCTAGTATCTTATCATAATTATTGTTTTTCAAATGACTATAAGAGGATCGTTATTTCTTGCATTGATAGAAGAAACACATTTTTAACGGTCAAACTATTTATTTTTTTAAGATACGTTTTGAACAGAATTGAACTTTGTACATTATGAATGCGTAGGTTTTTCCTGATGATAGTCCAGTCATCATGTCAAAGCTAAAATGCCGATTAATTTTATAATATCTGGCTGTAGTTAAGTTGGTTAGTTGTTGAGAACAACTGCTTGAAATTTACTTACCGTCAGTATGAACGGAACCGGTGTTTTTAAATACTTCAATTAAGTACTTCATGAAAGCCCGATCGACTGGGCGGTCCGGATGAACCGAGTTGAATTGTCTTTCCGGGTCGTGATAATTTCGGCTGGCTCCATACAAAAAGACCAACTCAATTTTGTCCATTGTTGATCTATCATGAAAATTCATAGTTGACAGATTCTCAGAAACAACTAAACAGAGGAAATACTAGCAAACTACAAACGAGATCGTGACCAAGAACAACTGGTCTTTGAATCTATCCTCTTAAAATTATTATTTGATTCACTTTGTCAGATACGTTGTTAAGATTGTACAGAAGAAAAATCAAACAAAAACAACAAGTTATCAAAACTGATAAAACAGTGATATTATATACATATAATTTTTTTCCACATAGTTATCATAAAATGATCTTTTTAAAAGCAAAATATTTCAGCGGAGGCTCCGAAACACCGAACATGTTTCGGCGGGTGTATTTTTGGTTAACAAAAAAACAAAATGTTCTACGAATACGCCGTAGAATATTCTACTTTGGTATGCTTTAAAACGATAAATCAACAAAATACTTCTTTTTTGCATATTTTAACAAACATTCTGTAAGAATAGATCAGAAAAAGGTCAAACTTGGATTTGACCTCATTGTCACGATTATAGCGTTATAAAAAAACCTTTGTTACCGTCTTTCGCAGAAATTTAATTTTTTTGGCTGATAATTTCGACGACCTTCGTGCATTCCTAGTGCGAGCTCTAATATCACACATTTTTCTCAAAAGCTTGTGGACCGATTTTCATGGTTGATAATCCGTGTTAAAGAAATTTTCAAGTGCATTTTGTAACTGTATCAAATATTGAAATCGGACTATTATTTCCATTAAAAAAAAGAAAGTTAATTTCTGGTACCAAAGTCGTTAAAAAGCTTTCTTGACGTTGAAATCCTTTTAGCAGTTTTTGAATTATATTCCGATAAAGAATTATAGAAAATCAGAAACAATTTAGGGGTCAAAAAACCGATAAATTTAAATTCAAACAAAAATTTATATTTAGGTGTCTCTACGAGGTTCTAAAACGAAATTCCATATTATTTTCACGTAAAAAATTTACCTAGTTTACTTGAAAAATATTTGATTTTTACAAATTTTTTGGCTATTGATAACCTATATTATTATAATCTACATAATAAATGCTGTAAAATGATATATCCTCATGTTTGCTTTGAACAAGTTGAACGGCGAAATAAAAAGTATTAAAAAAAGAAAATTTCAACTTTCAATAAGTGGCTGATATATGTCCGCTATTTTGTAGTTTTGAATTACAAAAAAAAGTTCGGGCCAAACCCCATTCAGATTCTACGTAAAAAATTATGTAAAGACCAATGCTATTTTTTCAAGTTATTTCCAAACAAAGGAAATAAAGGGGGGGTATTAACAAATAATTACCCGGTATGTTACATATATAAATATATATTTTATTTCTTTAAATGGTCGTTTTTCAACTTAAAACATTTCAACGTAGCTAGAATAAGGAAAAAGCTGGGCAATTATCGGTTCTGTGCTACCTTCTTTAACGTCTAGCTGTTTATTTTATGGTCGAATGCAAATAGGCGGTGATAAAAAATATAAAAATTATATTTTTGATAGTCAATCGCCTATTTTTTTGTATGGGTTAAAGAACTTCATAAATCCCGGGAATTGTATTCACACATGCGTTCATAAGTAGACTAAAGTTTTGAAGAGGATTGGTGTTTGAGAGAAATATTTGAAACAAAGAAAATAATTATGATCTATTGCTGGTTGGTTGTGGAGACAAAGCATATTGCGCACGAGGAAAAGAAAAAACGCGAAATTCTAGGGTTCATTTTCAATAAACAATTTAATTAATAATTTTTAAATTTCAAATAGAAAAAAAAAAAAATCTGACCTTTAGTATTAATAATCACAGTATTGTTTAATTCCGTATTCAAACGGTCCAGCTTGTTAATGGCGTCAGGTACGAATTGTTTATCTTTTTCGGAATCTTCGCTTGTGAATTTGTTGAAGACGAAGACGTCGCCAATTTGGACGACGCTTTTGTTGAATTTGGCGTTTTGAATTTTTGCAGCGGGTCCGTCGACGGCGATGCACGCAGGCAGTGGCGAGTCGTCGACTTCCTCCAACGCCGCCCCATCGCCGTCCTCGAGCTGTTCTACAGCCAGATTGCCCTTGCCATGTCCCACTATCTGCAAATTCTCTCCTGACATCGGCAGACGTTCCGACACTCCGTCAAACCAGTCGTGACGGACGACTGTCAACTGATCAGTGATCACACTGTTGATGTTAAAACGCTGAAACTTGCCTCTTGGCTCTTATCCTGTTGAATCACAAGGATTTCACATTTTCACCTTCACGAGCAGAAGTAGGGAAACAAGGAAACTCAACCAGCGCTTCACTCGGCTACAGCATATATTATTGCTCACATTATAAATTTATACGTATGTGCATACTGCATAGTATACAGGGTGTCCTTTTCAGATGGACCGGCTGAAATTTCTCTTGTACCAATGACGCCATCAAAAATACAAAAAAATACATATTTAATATGTTTTGTCCAGTTTAAAAATTTTACCTTTTTGGGGGAAAAATTATGCAGGATACCTAAGGCCCAATTCAACTTCAAAATTTCAAATACGACCTATATATCCTGACACATAATTTTAAAGGATTTTTTACGCTGAAAACAATGGTGCAATCGCAATTTAAATTGATAAAAAAATACAAAATTATAGCACAAAGTTGAAGAAAAAAAATGCGTTTCGTTTGTTTTGTTGTTAATTCCGATAATTTGCTTCTTCACTAAAGTAAACATTAATTGCCTTTATTGTTGATATTCTGTCATTGTCCAGCTCACATTTAGTTTTCTTCAGCCTCCCATATCGACATTTGTGCAAGGAACTTATGTTTCAAGATTATATATTACGAGCAGATCGAAGGCACGATAGCTCAAGTGGTTAGAGCAGCGGCGAATTGAGCTGAAGGTTGTGGGTTCGAATCCCGCTCGTGACACTAGCTTTTTCATTTCAACCAAGACCTTACATAAAAAGATTAATTAATTGAAAGAAGTAATTTGGTCAATCAGACCACTAAATGTAATGAATTATATATTACGATCTTTTTCTACAAGGACTACAAGTTGATTGTATGTACACTGACTTTTCAAAAGCTTTTGATTGTGTTGATCATATGAATCTACTACAAAAATTTGACAAATTAGGCATACATGGTAACATATTACACTGGTTTGCATCTTATTTAGAAGGTATTATGGTTAAAATAGAACAGTATTGTCGCCATAGTTTCCTAGCAATTTCTGTGGTTCCTCAAGGTTCGCACTTAGGGCCTATTCTGTTTAAAATCTATATAAATGATATCTCTTATTCTCTTCCGTCCGTTATGACCTTACTTAATGCAGATGATTTAAAAATATTCCAAAAAATTAATTCTGTTTCTGACTGCTTACAACTTCAACATGCCTTAGTAAAACTTAATAATTGGTGTGGTGTTCAGTGACTGCTAGTTAATGATTATTTGGAGATCATGAGATGATGTGTGATGGTTCTGTGATGTGGTTGTGATGAAGGTTTAAGAAAAACATTTTCTTTATCGTACCAACATTTCTATCTTTATTGAGATGATCTTCAGGGCCTGGGATTTATAAAGATTGTTTAAATTATGCAAATACATGTAGGATGTGAATTTATACAATGCTAAAAATTTTAGACTTAATCAAAGTATTTGTACCCACTCAAAGAGTTTGTTTTCTGTCATTATTGAGTGTTGTGTTGAGAGTGCCATTGAGATATTGATGTTTTATGTTTATATACGTTGGATTTTGAAGGGGTGGGGAAGGAAGGTTGAACAGAAATTTAAACAATGTTTATAAATCCCAGGCCCTGATGATGATCTCAATAAAGATCAAAACGTTGGCATGATAAAGAAAATGTTTTTCTAAAACTTACGTCACACCAAACCGCATCTAACGATCTCCAAATAAGTAATAATTGGTATTGAACTAATAATATTGTTTTAAATTCTGACAAATGTTCAGTTATGACTTTACATAAAACAAAATATCCTATCAAATTTAACTATATCAGACTCACTTCTAATTAGATATGAAATTGTTAAAGATCTTGGCATCATTATTGACAGACAAACTTTCACACACACATTAACAAAACTATTGCTAAAGCAAATAAAACTTTAGGGTTTTACGTCATACTAAACATTTCCATGATCCAGATACATTAAAATTTTATATACACCCAATATAAGACCTTTTATTGGATTACTGCTTTGGGCTCCCTTTCAATCCACCCATATCAGTCACATAGAAGACACATTTTTTAAACTCATTCAAAAATATAAGATATATTCAATGTCCAAATATATTAAAACCAATAAAACTATTTTTGAACAAATTATAACTTTCAATAAAATTCTCAATTACACTAAAGTTATGACTCAAGAGAAATTTGACAACCTGATCATAAACTCGAACGGGGAAAGACAAGGACTGGTGAATGGACTTGGCACAGCAACAAAATGGAAACTTTGATGATGCAGATGACACAAATTAAATACGATTATAGAACACATCAACACTAACCAAATTGCACTTCAAAATGAAATAAAATTCATGTATTCTCTTAATGAAAGAATAATCAGAAATTTAATGAAACAGTATGCACCTTAGAGAGTGAGTAATGGAGAGGAATTAGCATATAAAATAAATTTGCTTGGGAGAAAAATTAGAAGTAGTCAACAATTGGCCTCAGTTAAAAAAAACTTTTAATCAATTACATTTATCAGTTTTTTAAAATTTATTTTATTTATTTAAATGGAGGTTCGCAACAGCAGAGGTCGTATCAACCCTCAGGCTGTCGGTGTTTTTGAAAAAAAAAGAAAAAAAAAGAAGCCCATTTGTAAGTATGTCAGGTTCAAATGCAGGGCCACTGAATTCAACCTTGGGTCTTTACCTTAGAATAATGGCTAAAAAGACAGGTCCTTGTCGCTCGTCAGAGACTCTCTGTAATAAGTGCTCCAATTCAACTCGAATCCTCCTCTTTCTACTCCAATTCAACTCGAATCCTCCTCTTTCTAACAGGGCAACTAATTCAACCTGGAGACGTAGGACTTGTCAAGAGAGCATGTACTGGTTGTTTCCATAAGTGTTTGGTTAGATTGGTCATGATAGATATTTGGTGAACGACCCATGATAACATACAATAGTACCACAGCCCTCGTGAAGGTATATTCATCGAAAGCTTGATGAAAGATTTTTTTTCTTGCTTTCAAATTTGATTTATCTCAGATTTTTAAAAAAAGATATAATTATAATATTAAGTTAATCTATATATGCTTAGCAGTCATAATTGATCTATTTATTTCAATCAAGAGTTTAGATAAAAAGTATAATTAATTGATATAATATTAAGGTTGATAATATCAATNATATATAAATAATACATACAGAATGGTAATGGATCAGGAATAAAGAAAACCACCAATAATAACTACAAAAAAAAACCATCAATATTGTTCCTGAATAATACACTGCTCCATAAAAAATGTGGTACACTTTGATATTTTGATTTATTTTTTAATTTAACAATGTTTTGCTATATTGTTTGTTTTACTACTTGAAAAATGATTTAATAATTATAATTAGTAGAAAAGTATTAGTTGCTGTCACCAATTGTAAGGCAAAAACTTAATTCCTAATTTGATTTAAAGTTCAACAAGGTCATTTAATTTATTAAAAATCATGAACACTTTGGATCAAGATATGGTCTTGAAGAAAGAAGCAAATTCGGTTGTTACTGCCAAGCTTTCAACTTATTTTAAGGTGATCATCAGGGCAAAACAATTTTAAATATATCTACAGATTGACATATTTAAGTTTTTTTACAATCTCAAATTTCCTTAAAGGCCTACTCAGTCCTAACATTGCCAAGGATGTGTTACAGTCCTTCAAAAATGACTTTATTCTCTGTTGTGTTGGTGGCACGAAAACAAAACAATTTAGAAAATATCCATAATGAGCATTATGTGGTGCAAGTTTTAGGTTTGTCTAAAATGACGCTCATTGAGCATTCAGTGATATCGCAAGAGTCCAAGGTGTATTCAGAGACCAGTAATGGGATGTCCAAGAGCGAGGGAACCACCTGATGAATTTACCAGATTGTACAGTTGCTTCTGCTTCTGAAACATCTTAAAAAAATTGATCTGTCTGGGATGTGTCTGTTAATACTGGAAAAGTAAGGAAACTCGCAGAAATGAGACTACATCCACAAGGCTAGCAACATGGCCCAGTGATTACGAGAGATCATTGTTGGGATCAAGTTTGCAACGGAACACTGACAATGGATAGACACTGAATGGACGAATCAATTGAATGGAGAGGGTTGTTCGGGTGTGGTTCAGTTATAGTGTGGAGTGGAATTTGTTTGGGGTCAAAAACTGAGTCAAATGTTTTTCATAAGACACTTAATGCAGAAATCTACATAACAGATATTCTTGACGGATATGTGGTACCATTTGCTCCTGTTATTGGTGAGCAATTTTTATTTATACAAAATAATGCATGATGAGTGTTGCCACCAGTGTAATGCACTACTTTAACCCTCCTACAACCTTATCTGAGTTGAAAGTTAAATTAGTTGAGATTTGGGATGAAATTCCAGGGCAAGGTTAATGGCTTAATTATGAGTATGCTAAAAAGATTAGAGTGGTAGAGCAAGAGGACTCTACTAAAGATTTTGAAGTTTGTATTATAATGTTTTTTGTTCTTAATCAAAAGTAATATCTTTTTAAAAATTAATTTTGGTTTTTGAGAAGTAGTTTTATTTTCACACTAACTAAATCTTTTAATAAATCCCTGAATTATAAAAAATATGGATATTTTTATTAAATATACTGAAAAGGCAAGTTCTTAAAAAATACGAAAATTTCAAAGTAAACTTTTTTTTTTTAAAGCAGTGTGTAGACCATTTAAACTTAATTGATTAGTTTTGTTTACAATACTACCTCATTGTGATCATAGATTTTATAACTTTTCGTCAGTGCAATGATTTCGAGTCCTTTCTTGATTAACAGAGCAAAACTCGATATCATCTTAACAGTAACATGATTTTGGTTGAGCAACTCACCAACGAGTTGTGCTTTAATCTGTCTTTAGGATCCCCTAATTTATGAGAGTAATTATACCATCCAGTTCCTTCAAAAATCCTTCCATCTCCTCCAATTACAAAATTGACTTTGATGTCAGTAAGATTTTGGCTGAATCCCATCGGCTTGATAAGCCCTTACTTGCAACTGGGAAGCCATATCTGAGGAACGAGCCAGAAAAGCTCTCATAACAACAATAATTTTGGGGAAGTGGTTCTCTTCTAGGGTTTAGAGAAACACATCTTCAAGAATGGACCACATTGGGTTTCTTCAAAGACCGTCTTTTGAGGTGTATATGCCATTGTTGAATTCACCGATTCGAGACAGAATTGCTGAACTACCGTAAACCTTTAAAGTTTGATGCTCGAGGAGAAAGTAAGATATTCCTAAAGTTAATAGTCTATCGCATTGAAGTGGAATTAAAAAAAAATATAGGAAAGAAAAACTTTGTCCAAAAAAACAGTCCCTACCTCTTAACTTTTAATGTTTGGTCTGGGTACATGGGTCTTCCCATTTTTAATGGTCTATTCTACAAATTCATCCAACGAAAGACAAATTTTGTACAAGTTGTCTTCTCATCCTTTCTTGCTTGATGACTAAGGATAGTAATTTCAGCTAAAAGGTAAATAAAAACCACATTTAAAAAAAAAGATTGACTTAATTTTTATTATTAATATCTATTACATCCACAATAACAAATATATAAAGATAGTACTATAAGATTGTTACAAAAATCTGACCAATGGAACATCCTATTGGATTATGTTTTATGCTTTTACAATCTAATGTTTCTAGCCAATTGTTATTCCAATTGTCAGATCTTGTACTCAAATGTGAAGATTACACACAATTTAAAATTAATTATATGACATGTTTTGTTGTTTTAATCAAGAAAATAAAAACAAGATAAAAACTTAAGTTTCATCTGATTAAGTGGGTAAACAGAAGACTTTGCTCCTTAAACATGTATCTTAATAAACACTTAACATGTACTCTACAACACACTATATATACACCAACATTCTTTTCTTTTTTCATTTTATGCTTTTTTTATATCAGTAATTAAGTGTAATGATCAATTAACGAGTTCTAAGAAACATATACGTTAAATATGAAAAACGTTTGATTTCTAAATGTATTAATGCAATATTAACTATTTATACAGCTAATAATTTTTCTAGCTATTTTCATTGGGAAATTGTTCAACTCATGGAAAAGGGAATCTCAAAGTATGGAAGCCACTTTGAAAAATATGTTGAAAATCATATTTTTTAAAGAGAAGAAATAAAATCTAGCTGAAGCAAAATGTCCAAACTTGCTTTTCTTTTTCTATGAACAGGACAAACACCTGGGATATAATCTTCTTCAATATCAATATCAACATGATAACTTTTTATTATAGGAAAGGAAACTAAGTTATATTTTTAAAAGTTAGATAGAACTTGATTTTTTTGTGTATTCCTTTATTGTTATATATAGTATATATAAAAATTTACTTTCAAAAGTTATATTACTTGTTGCACGTATATTCAGGTGAGTTCAGTTTGATTTCTGTTCAAATGCTCAGGGAGTTGCATAAGAAAGAATTTATATTACTGGCTGTAATTATCATTTAAAAATATTTATGATTTGAGGAAATATAATGAAAGGTAAAAGGTAACGTGAAAGATGATTAGCGTTAATTTGAAAATTACTGTTTATAATGAATGGCTTTATCACTGCTTCTCAGTTCTTTCTTCTACTGCCTGTTGCGCCTTGAACCTGAAACTGGTAAAAATTGGCATCACTTTTATTTTATTGATTTTAATATATAGTTACAAATTGGTACATAATTGGTCCGGTTAATCAGAAATTTATTAAAGTAAATATGACAAAAAATTATTATGCAATAATGAAAACATATGGAAAAAAATGTTCAACTAAGTCTAATTTCTTAGAAGCTGAGATTAAAATTAGATAAAATTAGATTAAATCATAGAAATAACGAAGGTGGAGAGAGAATGGGGATGAATAGTACCAGAAGATAGTTCTTACTCACAGATTTGTTGTTAAGCGATCCGGATTTCGAGCATTAAACGCACATCATCAGGATGAAGAAGTTGCAAACACGTCTCTCGACATGAAATGAAGGGTGAACCCGCCGATAATTTTTTACAAATTCGTATCGATAATTTTGAAAAAGTATTTTTGAATCTGTCCTTTTTGTAAATGGTATTATATCGGTATATGGTGTTATATTTTATGTAGATGGTCGGGAGCTTTAACAAGTACGTTGCGAACTTAAAAACATCCTCTCAAAACCTAAACACGGTCGACAATGACAATTTGTCAAAAAGCGCGTTTTACTAACTTAATTGTAATGATTGCGGTATTAAATATATAGGACAAAGCGATAGAGAAATTAAAATGTAAAATAACATTTGCCTAAATCGAATAAATTTTCTGAATTTAAAGACCATTTAAGTGAAACACAATTTAAATTTAAATTTAAATACAACAGTATTACAGATTTCAACAAAGGGAGGAAACTAGATTGGTTTGAGAAATTTGAAATAAAAAATGTAAAATTGCCTGAGGATAGATGCATAAATAATAGATACCACACCAAAATGACAACACAAGAATAGCACCACACTTTATGTGAGTATGAAATAATTATTCAGAAATCGTGAGATGCGGTCTGGTGTGATGTAGGTTTCAGAAAAACATTTTCTTTATCGTGCAAACTTTTCGAACTTTATTGAGATCATCTTCAGGGCCTGGGATTTACAAACATTGTTTACATTTAACAAATACATTTAGGATGTGGAAAAGTTAATTTATACAATGCAAAATATATTTTTTACATTCAATCAAAGTATTTCTACTCCCTCAAAGAGTTTGTCTTCTGTGTACACACAATCCTGAAGATGATCTCAATAAAGATCGAAACGTTGGCACGATAAAGAAAATGTTTTTCTGAAATCTACATCACACCAGACCGCATCTCACGATTTCTGAATAATTATCGATTAACGGTCACTAATCACCACACACTTCTACACGAGAAGTATGAAATACTTGGTTCAACACTTATATTTTCATCTTAAATTGTATTTTTTCCAATCAACATATGTTTTGTGGTTTACCCAGGCCCTTAAGATGACCCGAATAAAGGTCGAAGCGCTGCAAAAAATGGAAAAGATGTTTTTCTGAACTACCCCATTCTTGATCGCTCCTCACGACTTCAACAAAATATAATACTCATACCGATAGAAGTGTTTATAACTCCTTCAACATGATGATGAGCGATTGATGCTCGAAATACGGATCGTTGAAAACGAACTGCGAGTAAGAACTACCTTTTAGAAAGATTTAAAATTACCTTTGTTCGCCTTGTTAGGACGGCCGGCTTTGTTCTTACACTTTTTAGTTGTTATTCTCTTCTGTTCGCAAGATGGATCGCTCTTTTCCTTCAATGTGTCTGTGCGGACCATCTCATTCTGTGGATTGCATGTGCTCCATGTTCCCTTCTCGTATCTGCAGGCTGCATGCAACAGTTTGTTCAACATTCAATATACATTTTTTATGGCAGTAAAAAAATAATTTTTCAATTTAAATTTAGTTAGATGTAACGGTCTTTGGCAATATATTCAAAAGGTATTTCAGATTAACAACTTAATGTTTTGACAATTTATAAAGCAATAATTGGAAATGAGTACGTTTCCAGTACATGTTTATTGGGAGCATGAGAGGAAGAAAGAAAGAGAGACGTTTATGTTGTACAATGAGGAAGAACTCTTTTTAATCGGATAACACGAAAAAGATTATTTCAAGACATTTATAAAATAATATTTGTGTTCAGTCCTTGATCCAAATACTCAGAACTCATGGGAAAACACACCAGTTTCCAGGCTGAATACATTCAATTGAGAGATGTGCCCAGTTCAATTTGAACAAATGGTACAAAAAACAAGAATATAGCTCTGCTGTCAAATAACCAAGCAAGCCATCAAAGCACTATATTTAAACATCATTAGACCGAATTAAAAAAACTAAACTAAATAGAAGTCACCGCTTTGTCTCAAGACAATGAACAATGGTGGACTATGTTAGAGACTGGTGTGTATCCTGAAAAGGTAATCGGTCTTACCTCGGGTCTCGTCACGTTTTTCTTTCAATCCGTTTCCCCGAGACTGTAGGAGACTCCTACAGTCCCTTCCCAACCTTTGGCTGCAAGGGGGGTTTCCAGGCAAAAAATAATGGTGTAGCCTTGATATCGTGACGCACTCACTAAAGCACCCTCCGCGTGTATATGGAAGATCGGACGGTATAGCATGCGAAGACTACGCCTACAGAGTCCCCCGAATGCGTTAAGGGAGTTGTTGGCTTGTGAGCCAGCCGCAGACGGGGCGTGATCAATGGCACACGGGGATTAGGGTACCAGATCCTCTCTGCACAGACGTGGAAGGGTTCATAACCAGCTGAACGAAGGGATATCACTGTGTTTCAAGTTCCAAGCCCATAGCGTGCTATGTGGGAATGGAATCGTAATTGGGCGTAGGTGAGACCTTGAGAGCTGAGCCTGTTGTTCGGTGGTGCCTATATAGGCTTCCTTTACCGAAGGCCCGTTCCTCTAGGGGGCGTTAGAAATTCCTACTTTAAACGAAACCACGGCCGAAGTGGATCCGGTAGTTCCGACGCTAGCAGGGACCCTACACTTAGGATGATACAGTTGTCTTCTCTATCTATGGAGCGCGGTGGGCCAGCCCATTTTTTAGATACCCCTTTCTGCGCCGCATGTGGTGCTTGGATGTTAACCCACCTCCTTAGAAGAGACAAAAGGGAGAAGTCGTCATGTCTATGTGATTAATCTGTGGATTTGGTGGCTTCTACACCACACCTCACGATAGGTAGTATCTACCGTGAGCGGAAGTGAGTCGCTCCTAACTTGAGAATCTAAACGTGTGATAAGGCCTATGGGCCAGATGCGCATGTTAAAGAACCTCATTGTCTAAAGACATCGTGACATTCAACGGAGGCGGATAAACGGCCTACGACGTGAAACACTTGCTGGACAGTAGAATGATGGGAAAATCTAAAAGTGTGATAAGGCCATGTGCCAGACACGCACATTAATGAACCTCATTGTCCCAATGACATTGCGACCCTCAGTGGGAAACATATATATATCCTAAGACATGTGGAGGTAGAGGGCAAAAGAGAGACGACGCCCTTGCACGAAAAGGAATTGCAGTATCTGAGACAAAAAGAAAACATGAAAATAAGGAAATAGCGGAATTCACTCATTGGCTCTCAGAAGGCTCTGTATATTCTACACCCCCAACATTACACGTTACAAAATAATATTTAATTATTAACAATTTAATACATAATATATAAGTATACATAATGCTTAATTTCTTGTTTATTATATATAATAAACAATAACTCGCTATTTGTTTACATATTGCTAATTATCTTCCAAATAATTATGTTTGTTTGTAAACACATTCCGATTATATTAATTCTTTGTTAATAATTAAAAAATAATGTAATTTTCCGATAATGACAGGCATGGAGAAAAACATACAATGAGTTAGCGTAAGTGCTAGTTTTAGACTTGTATTTTATCACTCTAGGGATAGATGGATGGCTTTCTAAGCCCCATAATAAGGGCTTGAGAATTACCCACCTGTCTTTTCCGTCCAGCCATCGGAGGTTGGGCTCGGGGGGTGTCAACAGCTCTCGATTCAGCACCCAACGTAATCAGACTCCAATTCGCACTCTCACTCACTCTTAAATATATTCTTTTTTTATTTACATACCATTCACTCAGTTAGGGAGGTGAAATACCCGATATTACTCCATCACAGTTTACATGCAACATAATTGACCTAATTGAGGGTTAATGGGGTATCCCACCCTCTCACACTACACATTCATGCAAATAAATACATTCATTCTCAACACACGCTTGGACAGAAAACTGCCTTACTTAATACAATAACCCAAGGAGAGCCAGATACTCGCTGCCTTGCCCAATCTCAATTCTCATATCGGGTGTCATTCTTATGCGCTTTCTATAAGGAGCCAAGGAATTGCACACTCGACAATAAGGATCCATTTGTTATAAAATTAACGACGGCAGATGAAAACTTGACATGGTGAAATTGCCGGTGTTTGGTGAGGTTGGACTTGAATTTACAATGAACCCTTTTTAGAAGACAGTTAAATACTCAATTACGTAAATGCAGCAACAAGGAAATAACGTCTGCATTAGTGTGAAGAAGTGGGGTCATTTTCCCTCGGGACAGCGGCCGTAAATTCTTTGACGACGAGGAAAAATTGTGGGACATACCCGCAGTTCCTTCAAATAATAACACAAAAAAGACTAGATGAAATGAATGTAAAAAGATAAAATGGAAAGAACTGTCATAAAGATGGTTTAAAGATATAAAATTTAATCAACTGCGCTTTATGATTGATCTTATCTTGACTTAGATGACTTCACTCATCTAGTGAGTAACAATATGCAAAATAGTATGATGTACGTTAAACTTTGCATTTTTGCCAATTTTATTTAATTTTCCAAATTTAAATATTATATGATCAAAAGTTTAATCTGGCATTTCAACGAATGAAAAATTTGATGAAGAAGATACTCACTGACAAAAGAAAAACAAAAACAAGACGGTTATTTAAACCAAAGCGACAAAGTAATGTAATAATTGTTAAAGTTTGATAATTTGTTATCAGTTGCACGAACCGCCATAATCATGCCAAATTTCGCTTCATATCGCAAAAAGGACAATGTTATCTTTTGGTTTAATTTCTTCTGTTCATCTGATATTGTTTTTTGATCCACTCAAGGGAAAAAGGCGAAGAAACGAAAGAGGAAATAATCTGATACGACCCTAAAAAGCTGAAATGTCCAGTGGCTTTTAGTTGGAAAAACTACATATTTACAATCTGTATTAACGGCTTTCGAAGGAAATAAAGCATCTTACGTCATAAAATTTTTAATTTATAATATAAACGAACGATTTTATTTCGCTCAGAATTGGACTACAATCAATGTAAGAATTTTTCGTACTATTTCACATATTCTCACATGAACTCATAGTTTGATGTTTCTGATAATTTTGTCCTGCCTATCAAGCCTGACCAAATCGGACGACAAAGACTGAAGGTTGTGATAACCCGAAACGCGTCGGACAGACCAAACCAACGAGTATAAACAAGCAAAATCAAAGGAAACGATCAAACTAATGGTAAAAATCGGTGAATAGAAATTTTCGCGTTATTTGATTCCGTCCGCAGGGTGGTCGTGATTTTATTTTTTTAATTAAAAATAAAAAGATATCTAGCAAATAACAGAAGGTTCGAAGAAGGAATTTTAAATTATCGGACAATTAATTATTTTAATGATAAGTTGGACACGATTCAGGATGGTCTGATGTCAAAAGAACATGCTTTCCGCCATTACAAAAATGAAATTTTATTTTTTGGTTAACTTTTGCAGCAAAATTAAGTAATTTAAACAAAATTAAGTAAAAATGGTCCCTTTTTTTGATTTATAATTCCTTTTTCCTCGGGGGCCTCTGTACTAAAGCTTATCCTTTCATACAACTTCTACTTAATCCTTCGTTCCTAACCAAACGATTGTTCAAGATCGGCCAGTACCGACTATTGCCCTCTGGGAGCGAGAATATCACAGGGCAGTGTACTTGGACCGATCCTTTACCTCCTTTATACGGCAGATATACCAACTTTATTCTTTGCCCCCCTCCCTTTGTTGACAAGGCTATGTTATCCACAATTTCTCCGGAAGAGCTTCAGGCACATGTCCTACAAACATGGAGCATACCCGGCGTATAAAACTTAATGAAAACAAAAGACTATATCATTCACTTCAAAGCAAAACCCATCATACAATACTCCTAAATAATACTCCAATCGCAAGTACAGATTACGTCCGCTACCTTGGATTCCATCCAGATACAAGTCTAACCGGAAACGAATAGGCTCAAAACGATAGTTGAACCGGTACACTGCCACTTACTGGGTATACTAGGAACCTGTTCCCTAGTTCCTCACTGAAGATGGTACAATGCCGAAACCCGACTAACTCAAACAAAAAACCAACGAGTGGGGACAGATCTAGTAAGTAAGTGGCCGTGTGCCGGTCCAACATGATTTCATTGGCCTGCAGACCAAAACCCATCTTCTACTAAAACGATAGTATTAAACCAACGGTCTATTCTACCGAACTCTGTCAATTCCGTTTCCGCAAAAAACAAACTGACAAGACTAAAACCAATCTGGCCGAACTAGAACTGTGGGGCACCGGTAAACCTTCCAACGTCCCAAGAATACAGTCCTTCCAATCTAAAGTCTTCAGAACTCAATCTACTACATATCCAATATAACACAATGGCTTCTAAATCCCTTGCAAAAAATAATCTCCTAAACACTTCTCACTTTTTATAATAAACTCCTTCTCACTCTAATCGAGTTGCCCAATCTTTATCCAATAAAAACCGTCCCTATAATCCCACCAAACGACCGATACTAAACGTGGTTTTCTCCTCGCGTATAATTGGGAATACAACTATCGTTCTTAACTCTTCTAACGACTCATGATCCAAACCATAAGTAAATATTATAAAACCAGCTAAATACACAATATAATTAAGGTACAGATTGTAATAAATATAAAATTAAAAAAAAAATCATTCCTTTTTAAAATTATTGCAAGACTTCTGCATCAGTACTTTTCATTTTTATTATATGTCTAGAGGTTTGTTTGTAGTTTTGTTTCAAATTTATTTAAATTGATATTAATTTAAACGAGATAAAATACCTTTTTTGCACTTCTTTTGGATTGTTTTTGTTTCCTCGCAATTCGGGTATGTGGATCCATCGGCTTTCTTTTTCAATGTCAGCTGCCTTGCTCTCATGTTACTCTTCTGATCACACTCGCTCCACGGTCCTTTTTCATAACGGCAAGGCTCTAAAAAGAGACATAATAAAAACAGATGGGGGTTAGCCAATTCCGCTGACCCGCTCCAGACCCGCACCGCAGGCGAGTCTTGCCGGCTGTAGCCTAGTTTGGTTTTTACCTTTTCCGTTCTTCGCACCCCTTTCACTCCTGATCAGCACCTCCTTTTCGTCTTCTTCCCAAATTTCTCCTTCGGCCAATACCAACGTGGCTAATAAAACGACAGCCAAAAGTACCAGACACCTGCACTTCATCTGAAACATGAAAATCCAACGTTAAAAAATAAATCTATAACTTTTGATCAAAGAGTTTTGTTAAAGCTGCTTTTGTATTGCATTTTTTTAATCACTTTTATACTACTTGCCAAAAACAGTATCTCTACGACCATCATAGCTATGAAATTATAATTTGGACTAGTAGTAGTAGTAATGTCTTAGTTAGCATCACTGGGGCAATGAGGACATCTTCAAGGAAGCCCTGGAAACCCTTATAGAACTACCACTACTACATATCTTTATCCAGGAAGAGGCCGGGGTCACAATTCACACAATTCATTCAACTAATGAACAGACACTCCAGTGGCCTCACAACAAGGAGCAACTAAAGCTTCGAGGGGAGCTTTAGCTAGACAGAACTCTGGGGATTCCTGTTGATGCCTTAACCACTAAATTCAGTTTTGACAAAAAATTCTAGTCAAAAATACCTTGTAGAAGTCTGACAGAAAGGGATCTTGTTAATGCCGACCAAATCTGGTTTACAGATGGGTCCTAAACTGAATATGGGCCAGGAGCTGGCATTTGTGGAAATGTATTGTATGGAAATTTCAGTATTAGAATTATCGATCACTTTTTCACTCGCGAAGACTCTAGGTCAAGGTATGATCTTGAAAAAGAAAACAAATTCAGTTGTTACTGCCAAGCTTTCGACCTATTTTAAGGTCATCATCACGAATAACAATCTCAATAATAAAAACAATCCGTGGTCTGTGGGTAATAAACCTATAGTTTGGTAGTTACTTTTTATCATCTTGGTCTGCCTATCCGCCCTGATTATTGTCAGTCAGTCGCTTTTCGCCATCTTAATTCGTTCTTGAAGTTGGATGATTTTGGGTGATGCGATGATCCTTAACGTAGCTAGCTAGGCCAAGTTAATACAAATAATGTAGATAGATGTGAATGTATTTATTTGTGCGACTGTATTATAGAAGTAAGTTAGTTTTAGGCTAGATTACAATTTGAATGCGTCAAGGGCTGAAACGTCCTAACCCCGTCTGCTGCTAATCGACCATCTCCTGAACTTCTAGCGATCCAGCCGCAAAACGGCGCAGTGAGCACCCCTGAAGTTATGACCCTCGGGTCAGCACATTAGGGAGAGAGCATCTTTCCGGTGAAAGTTCAATAAAGAATGACAAGGTTCGTGGATATAATATTTTTGAAATTTTGTCAAAGTAGGTAGATCGAGTTACCAAAGACAAAACAATGTTGCCAATTGAAGTCTGTTTTGTTATTTCATTTCGTACGTACCTTAACTATAAGACTAACTAAAATAATATTAGTAAAGTTACACTTCTTCACTAGAAAGTTCAAGTGGAAAAGTTTCTAGGAAAGAAAGCGGTATCCAACACCCGGGAAAAGTCGCTAATGAACAAATATTGTCCTCGTCTGGCAAAATGAGTTCGAGTTTGCCCGAGAGGGTTTATTGAAATGGATGACGCTCTTTCATTTCTTCAGAATTGGACCACTTAAAAGTTTGACATCCCAATATATCTCGATCTGTCTCTCATTGTATAAGCAGAAAACGCCCCCTTCTATCAAAAGGGCGAGAGATGTGGGAGAGGAGAAAAAAACCCAAAAAAATCCTATGCAATCAGAATGTTATATCGCGATGGCAATCAACTTCCTGGGCAAGTGCTCTAAATGTAATTTACAACTCCATTGTAGCTTTCCTCATTGCTATTCGACCCGGACGCTTTTCATATTTGATTTAAAGTTATTTGTACAATTTTTTATAAATTCTGGACAATTTTTCCTATACATTTTTATTCTATTGTATCAACTCGTTTAAAAAGAACTGAATGAATTCACCATACGTCTAGTTCGAAGGGTTATTACATACCGAATCATAGTAAATTAAAGGAAGATTTTTGATAAGGTTTTTATAGTTTTATTGTTAGTACTGAGTTTAATTGTTAGTATTGAGGTCTGAATGCCATACTGCAATTCTTTTTTCACTTTAAAAAGGATGTTTAACCCGACGCGACCTACAAATTCGAATTTCCGGATTGGACGAGTACACCGACGAAATCACGCCCCAAAAGCTGTTTGTTTATATTCGAGGAGACTAAGTAACATTGTGATAAGGAGTGTGCTACAACTAATCTTGAAATTCAAGTGTTTTTCTTAACTCACTAATATACGAGGCGGTAAATTTGAAAAAAAGTTTCCAATTTTTTCCATTTTCTTAAAATGTCGCGTTATCTGAGGTCAAAGGTCAACCGGAGTGACAAAAGTCTGGAACGAATTCCATTGAGAATGACACCGAACACCAGGGGGGACCAAACATAAAACTTAAAAGGGAACAACTGATTCACTTCTCCTTATCTAGTCTTATCAATAGCAAAATTAACAGTCTCCAATAGTTAAGCCTAATCACTTTCAATATCAGCTCTCAAAACACTCGAAATCCCCTTTCCTTTCTCAGTCTAAACTCAAAAATATAATTACTTAACTCTGGCATTTCTCGAATTTTAAATGTTAGTAATAAACACAATTGACTTGTTCAACGCAACAAAAACTTGAGATCGAGACATATTTTCTCTGACTATACAATTGTGAATATTTTTTTAATATCACTCTTCTTATATGGGTACATGATTTTTAAAAAAAATGTTTATATTATATATACATTTCACATATATACCAGACATATTTGTAAAAAATCATATACCGACATGTAAAGAATATTATCTATCTTCTTATGTAGGTATATGATTTTTTAAAAATATGTTAATGTTATATATGTTAGATGTATAAAACATTATGTATATGTATAAAAAATCATATACCTACATTAGAAGATAGATAATATTTCTTTCTTGCTGGTATATTATTTAAAAAAAATATATTTATGCTGTATATGTTAAATGTACATACGATATTACGATATATATATATATATATATATATATATATATATATATATATACATTTAACATATACAACATATTTAAAAAAAATCGTATACCAACATGAAAGAAATATTAACTATCTTGTTATGTAGGCATATGGTTTTTCAAAAATAAGTTTACGCTATATGTGTTAAATGTATATACGATATATACATTTATCGTATATAACATATTTTTAAAAAATCACATACCAACATGAAAGAAATATTAACTATCTTGTTATGTAGGTGTATGATTTTTCAAAAATATGTTTATGCTATATGTGTTAAATGCATATACGATATATACATTTAACGTACATAACATATTTAAAAAAAATCACATACCAACATGAAAGAAATATTAACTATCTTGTTATGTAGGTATATGATTTTTCAAAAATATGTATAAATTAAATGTATATACGATCTATACATTTAACGTATATAACATATTTAAAAAAAATCATATACCAACTTGAAAGAAATATCAACTATCTTGTTATGTAAGTGTATGATTTTTCAAAAATATGTTTATGCTATGTGTTAAATGTATATACGATATATACATTTAACGTATATAACACATTTTTAAAAAATCACATACCAACATGAAAGAAGTATTAACTATCTTGTTATGCAGGTATATGATTTTTCAAAAATATGTATATGTTAAATTTATATACGATATATACATTTGACGTATATAACATATTTTTAAAAAATCATATACCAACATGAAAGAAATATTATTAATATTATCTTCTTATGTAGGTATATGATTTTTAAAAAAATTATGTTATACGTGCTAAATGTATATATTATATATTTAAAAAAAAACATATACCTTTATAAGAAAAGAGATATTAATAAAATTATTTACAAATGTATAGTCGTAGAAAATATTTGTTTATTGCAAGTTTGTTTGCGTTGAACATATCAATGGTGCTCATTACTAACACTTAAAGTTCTAGAAATGACAGAGATAAATTGGTAATTGTACGCTTAATAAAAGCGACTATGGTCGTTTTGTTAGGTTAATCCTTAAAACCAGCGTTTTTTCACCATTCATCCGTGATTTTGTCTTTTTTGTAAAATTTCTTCGAATTTATCCCCCTGAGGTCCTGAGTCTCAAGCAGTAGGTCTACTGTTAGGCTCCACAGGAGTTGTGATAGAACCCCTGGCATTCTTTGGTTGTATTAACTTGTATAGTGTTTCTTAGACTTGTCTCAATTTTCCTGGTTCTTAACATTTCTTCAATCCTTCTAGATATGGTGTGACGTGTTTTTTCCTCAAGGGCCTTCGAAGATTGCTGTTTGATTGAAGATTGCTATGTCCTTTTCTTCTAGTGTTTCCTTCAGGTCCAGGTTAACCGGTACAGTTTGTACTGATCATCCTGCTCTGTATGGATGGTAGTAGCGGAGTGTCAGTCTGTCCACACTGTTATTATTATATTTTTATAAGCTTTTCAAGTGTTTTTAATAAGGACTATGTATATGCATGTGCAGATTTGAACTTGTGATTAGTAATCAGCAATCATTTCAATATACATAGTATACACGTTTTTTCTCAAAAATAATTTAAATTTAATAAATGTTAATATAAATATTTGACTTTTGACATCGAACACCAGAAAAAGGATGATTTCTAAAGATGCTGAGGTTGAACGAACAGTCCCTTTAGTTTAGATTATTCTTTTCATTTAATAAATACAAAAAAATTGAAACGGCGAGGGCCCGAATATTCAGGTCAACTGAAAAGTTATACTGCAAAAGCCGATTACACTTCAGATGACTAAAACCGTTAATGGAATCAGTTTGACCGAAGGGCGGGGGAGAAAACCTGCTAAAAGGGGAGAGGATTTAACCATTCGCGGAGGAAACCGTTTAACAATTTAAATGCAGCCACCCTGGGAAAGTTGTCGCCCTATAGTCATCTACTTTCTCTCTCTCACACACTCATTCTGTCTTTCTCTCTCTCTCTCTCTCTCTCTCTCTCTCTCTCTCTCTCACTATCTCACTCACTCACTCGTCCTGCATAATGCATCAATCTGTTCAGTTAATTCGGCCCAAGAGGTAACAAAGTCACCG